TTATTTTTTAGTTCTCGGCGGACACAACATCTTTGTTGGTATGTGGTGCTGAGGATCGAACCCGGGCCGCACGCATGCCAGGCGAGCGCGCTACCGCTGAGCCACATCTCCAGCCCTTTATTATTTCTTTATGTGATGCTGAGGCTTGAACCCGGTACCTCACACATGCTAGGCATAGTCTACCACTGAGCCACAATCCCAGCCCCTAGAGAATGTTGAGTCCAATCTGGGCAACATAGCAAGACCCCTATCTCAAAAATAAATAAGTAACTGGCTGGTACACATTGCTGGCCTATAATCCCAGTGGCTCAGGAGGCTGAGGCAGGAAGATCATGGGGTTCAAAGCCAGCCTCAGGGGCTGGGGGTGTAGCTCAGTTGGTAGAGCACTTGCCTAGCACGTGTGAAGCATTGGGTTTGATCCTCAGCACCTCATAAAAATAAAAATGAAGGTATTGTTTTCATCTACTATTAAAAAAAAAAAGCCAGCCGTAGCAATTTAGCAAGGTACTAAGCAACTCAGTGAGACCCTGTCTCTATTAAAATACAAAATAGGGCTAGGGATGTGGCTTAGTGGTGAGTGCCCCTGAGTTCAATCACTGGTACCCCAAAATAAACAAACAAAGAAAGAAAACAATACAAACATTAATGAGGTAACTCATTTTTCTTTAATCAGGCTGACCCCATTTCAAGTGCTCAATGGCCATAAGTGGCTACTGTCCTGGACAGTGCAAGGTTGAAACCTAGGACATGGAAGCTGGACAGGTCAGGATTCTATATCCAAATTCCAATCCTTAATTTGTCCTTACTGGACAAATTACTTATCTTCTCCTATTTTTGTTTTTTGACCTATAAAGTGGAACTCATAACGGTACCCACTTTATAGAGTAATTTTGAGGATTAATGGCACACAAAGCACCTAGTATATGCTCAGTAAATGTTCATATTATTAGCAGTAAATTAGGCGATTATTAAATTGAATTAATGAGATTTTGATATTACTGTTATGGTGACCTCATTCATTCCGTTCAGATGATGTGGCTTGGAGACTTCCAAATAGACAAAGAAACAATGCACAAACCAGGAAAACATATTTCCAACACATGTGACTCACAAAGTGGTATTATATTTGGTAGGTAAGAAATGTTTCCAAATAAAATAAGAACATAAATATGAATGATAAGTTCAACAAAGGAAGCGAACATCTGAAGTAACTTTTTACAAGCAAGACCTGCCAGGCACATGGTATACTCCTGCAATCCCAGCAACTCAGAAAGCTGAGGTAAGTGTGAGGACAGCCTCAGCAATTTAGAAAGGCCCTTGTCAAAAAAAAAAAAGAAAGAAAAGAAAAGAAAAAGAAAGAAAGAAAAAAAGAAAAAGGAAACAGAAAAACAGAAGTATTAGCAAGACTCTTTTAGAGTTCAGAGTTCTTAGGAATCAGATATAATAATAAACATAGGATACCATGGCTGGGGCTGGGGTTGTGGCTCAGTGGTAGAGCGCTTGCCTAGCAGGTGTGAGGCACTGGGTTTGATCCTCAGCACACATAAAGATAAATAAATCAAATAAAGGTATTGTGTTCATCTATAACAACAACAAAAAAAAATTAAAAAAAAAAACAATGTTTGAACTCTGAGACAGGTGATTAAAAAAAATTGGGGGCTGGGGTTGTGGCTCAGTGGTAGAGTCCTTGCCTATCATGTGCTATGCCCTGGGTTTGATCCTCAGCACCATGTAACAATAAATAAATAAAATAAAAATGGTATTGTGTAATAAAAAATGGATACCATTGCTGAGTAATGAATTGGCAATATCCAGAATTTGGTGGCACCTAATATTGAAGAAGGAAGGGAGATCAGTGCTCTTCCCAGGCCTCATCAAAACAGCCCTGTCTGTCCCCTTATTTCCTTTTTGTCTTGAACACAGATCTGAGCTTCAGCCACACTAAACCGCTGTTTTCTCCTGTGTTTATGGTATTGGCTCCGTGACATGCTTCCCTAACTGCTATATCTCCAGTCCAAATCAGAGCCCAATCCAAATCTTTCCTATTCCATGAAGCTTTTCTTTTCTCCCAAATAGTTGGATTTTTTTTTTTTCCTTAGAGAACCACAACCTTTGAGGTGTACCTCTCTGAGGCCCATATGTCTTGTTCTTTCTTTCCCTTCTTCCCACTAGGAAACTGTAAACTTGAAGGCAAGGAGAATTTATTTCTTTCGGCTGCAGCTCCCAAAACCTAGCACAGAGCAACAAAATGAAGTGGAAAGAGTAAGAACTTTAGCACAAGAGACCCCAGGTTATTAACTGTTAAACTTTAGTCACATCCCTCAGACTTTCTCAGTCTATTTCCTTCTCTGCTATTTCCTACCTTGAGTGATCAGTTGTACTCCAGGCAGGTGATGTATGTGAAAGTCCTTATAGATAGCCACACCTCACATTGCTTTATTTAGTCAATAAATATTTATTGCATTGAAAGCAAAAGGTTGAGGAGAATCAGAGGGAATGTGGAAAGGTATTCAGGAATAAGAAAGCACGCGGTAAGCAGTGCCATAAAGGAAGGCTATGGGGAGGAGGAGGTCCTGGGTTCAATCCTAGCATCATCATTAATTAATTAATTAATCAAAGAACATATTGCCTAAAATGTCACCCCTCCAACTGTGCCTGGTCATACAGAGGAGAGAAAGTAATTAGAAACAGCCCTAATTACTATTAGGGGTTGAATCAGGGGCACTTTATCACAGAGCTACATCTCCATTCCTTTTTATTTTGAGACAAGGACTTGTTAAGTTGCTAAGGCTGGCCTCAAACAAGCGATCTTTTTGCCTCAGCCTCTTGAGCTGCTGGGATTACAGGTGTGTGCCACCGTACCTTACCAGCCCTAATCTTTTGAGGAAAGAGAGCAAATGGAGGCCCATATACATATGACTTATACCCTCAAAAACAACAAAATTGTAATCTATGAGTGAAACTATGAAATTGAAAGTATATACTTGGTGGGGCTGGGGATATAGCTCAATTGGTAGAGTGCTTGCCTCGCATGCACAAGGCCCTAGGTTCAATCCCCGACACCACACACAAAAAATAATATATATATATATATATATATATATATAATATTATATATGCTGGGGGCTAGCTCAGTGGTAGAGTACCTGCTGCATGTGTGAAGCATTGAGGTCAATACTCTGCATCACATAATAAATAAATAAATAAATAAATAAATAAATAAATGTATTGTGTCCATCTACAACTAAATTATATATATATACATACACACATATTTTTAAAAATAAAGTATATGCTGGGCATAGTGGTGCATGTCTGTAATAATCCCAGCAACTCAGGAAGCTGAGGCAGAAGGATCACAAATTTGAAGCCAAATTCAGAAACTTAATGAGGCCCTAAACAACTTGGCAAGACCCTGTCTCAAAATTAAAAATAAAAAGGGCTGGGGATGTGGGTCAATGGTCAAGTGCCCCTGGGGTCAATTCCTGGTGCCAATAAAATAAAATGAAATAAAAAACAAAAAAAAAAGTGTGCAAAATACCAACATTAAGTGAATTTAATTATTACATGCCTGGAATATCAATAGACTGGTAATGTGATCAGTAGTAAAATAAAGACAAACATAATTCTTTTTTTGTACCAGAGATTGAACCCAGGGGCACTTAACCACTGAGCCACATCCCCATCCCTTTTTTATATTTTATTTAAAGATAGGGTGTCACTGAGTTGCTTAGAGCTTCACTAAGTTGCTGAGGCTGGCTTTGAACTCACAAACCTACTGTCTCAGCCTCCAGAGCTACTGGGAATACAGGTGTGTGCCACCATACCCAGCCAAACATAATTCTTAAAGCATACATTCATAAAATTAATTTTTCTTTTCTCCATTTTAGTAAAACTACTAATGAATAATGCTAAAACAGATGTTTTAAGACTCTCTAAAAATAAACAATCTAATATTTTTAGAATTGATTCCTGCAAACCATGTATAAAAGAGTTTCTTGGGCTGGGGGTGTAGTTGAGTGGTAAAGTACTTGCCCAGCATTCTCAATCCCTGGTCTCAATCCACAGTTCCTCCATAATTATTGTCATCGTCATCATCATCATCATCATCATCACAATAATAATTTGTTCTTTAAATAATTTATTATTTTATGTCTGTGGTTCGGGGTCTTCTAAAGTATAGGTCTCAGAATAGAGGTCTTATGAATGCTAGGCAAGTACTCTACCAACTGACTACCAACTGAGCTATATCCCCAGCACTTTTTTTTTTTGGACACAGGGGATCGAACCCAGAGGTGCTTAGCCACTGAGCTACATTCCCAGCCCTTTTTTAAAATTTTGAGTCAGGGTCTCACTAAGTTGCTGAGGCTGATTTTGGGAGGATGTGGATCACAAGTTCCAGGCCAGCCTTAGTAATTTATTGAGACCCTGTGTCAGTAACTTAGGGAATCCCTGTGTCAAAATAAAAAATAAAAGGACTGGAGATGTAGAGTGCTCCTGGGTTCAACTGCCTGTATAAAAAAAAAAAGGACACCTGATCCTGATCCTTTTCTTTCTTTTTCTTTTTTTGGTTTGTTTTATGGTACTGGGGATTGAACCCAGGAGTACTCTATCACTAAGCTACATCCTCAATTCTTTTTATTTTGACACAGGGTCTCCCTAAGTTAGGAGAGTCTTGATAAATTACTAAAACTCACCTGGAACTTGTGATCCTCCTGCCTCAGCCTCCTGGATCACTGGAATCCCAGGAGTGCGTCACTGAGCTAAGCACAGGTGTCCTTTTGACAAAGAGAGAAAGCTTTGACAAGTGGCAGAGGAGGCAGTATTGTGACCATGGAGAAGAGTATTGCAGTTGCAAGTCAAGTACTGTAAGTCAGCAGTCCCCAGAAACTGATAGAGACAACAAATGAATTCTTCCCTACAGTTCTGGATAGAGCATGGCTTTACTGACATAGCCCAGCACACCTCTGCCCGCAGCCTGGTTTCAGCCTAGTGACACTTATTTCAGACTTCAGACTTATAGCCTCAAAATTTTGAAAAACTGCACTGGGGATTAAATCCAGGGGTGTATAACCATTGAGTTACATCCCAAGTCCATTTTTTTTTTTTTTTTTTTTTTTGAATCAGGGTCTCACTAAGTTGCTTAGGGCCTCACTAAGTTACTGAGCCTGGCCTCGAACTGGCAATCTTCCTGCCGCAGCCTCCTGAGTTCCTGGGATCAGGCGTGCACCACAAAGATTGATTTGTTAGATATATAAATGTACTAGATCCCTAGTCCTTTTTATTTTTTATTTTAAGACTCTGCACCAGGCTGGCTGGCCCTTGAATTTGCAATACTCTTGCCTCAGCCTCTTGAGTAGCTGGAATTATAAGCATGTGACACTATGCTTAGCTTATTTTATTTTTTTGAACACTGTAAGTGAAATACCTATTCTGAGAAGTCAATGCATATATACGGTTTAAGGGCAAAATCAGACAAAATCCTTGTATTGTTTAAACATCCATTTCTGGAGGGCAGTCTCTGTCCCCCTTTCTAATGTCTTCCAGGGCAGTGGGCCACCCTGACTCCCTGGTGGCTCTAAGGACAGCTTTAGCACATGGACTTCCTATGTCCTGCCAATAAGCAGCTAAGCCCAGCACACCCTCTTTCCTTACCCGACCTAGAAAACAAACCAGTAGGTGAATCCCTGAGTCAGCTTTCTGAAGGCAGTTGTCAACCCATCTTCTTCTGCCCTTTGCTCTCCTTTTCTTCCATTTTCCAGAGAAACCTGGAAAGCTCTGCAACTGCAAAGTGCTGTAGAGCTCTGGCTTGTTGTTTTCCTTCCTCTCTTTGGCCTGTGTCATCCTCTCAGCAAGGACTGCAGTCAGACTTCCTGCCAAGCTCACCTGCTGGGTTCATCTGTCTTAAAAAAATAAACAACAATAACAACAACAACAACAAAAAAAACCCTGGTATTTTCATAGAACTTAAAAACCTCAAATTACACATTATTTTGTTCAACTCCCCAGCCAAAGAAAAATGTCCCAATTGTAAAATTTTGCAGAGAAAATCTATTTGGTTTCACTTTGTCAGCTCAATCACGTCAGAGTGACAGTTCTCATAAAATATCTGTTCTTGTGAGGAATCCCATGGGGCAGGTCTGTTTGAGTGTGGTGTCTAGCCGCACAATGAGCCCCAGTAAATTTCCATTCAGTAATACAGTGACTGTTAATCAACACCGAATATGTCTCCATTGCTGTGAGGCCCTGGGCAGGGACAGCACCAAATATGAGACCTAGCTCCTGTCTGCCAAACTTTAACAACTGTATTAGGATACCTTCAACTTATCATTGTGTCTGGCTTGTTTTATTTTGTTTTAAGTCCATTTTTTGGTTGTCTATGTCAGAAATATGATTTATGGGCATAACTTTCTACCCTCTCCCTTTTTTGAGGTTTTGGGGAAAACAGATTTTTATATTGCAGAGATCATAGCTGAAGTTCTAACTCTTTTTTTTTAAATATTTATTTATTTTTTAGTTATTGGCGGACACAACATCTTTGTTTGTATATGGTGCTGGAGGATCGAACCCGGGCCGCACGCATGCCAGGCAAGCGCGCTACCGCTTGAGCCACATCCCCAGCCCAGAAGTTCTTCTAACTCTTAAGTAATTCACATAAGACTCACTGAACTTTCAGGGTGTTAATTTAGCTATAAGAGTGACATAGCTTTCTTTCATTAGCTAGAATTCCTTGGCTAATGTGCAGGAAATTGGAGATGTCTTCCCAATGATGGGTTTTGCTCAAATCAAATGTGAGTCTAAAAGCAAATCATTCTCACAGAAGCTGAGCCGGGCTGGGATTCAGGTGTCTAGAATCACACCATATATCTCCCCAGAGGATGCTGGAGCAGAACACTCCTTCCCTTGGGTGCTGTTAAACTTACAGGGAATGACGAGCAGAAGGCCTATGGAGGCAGAATGCTCACTCTCTATTACACACGTACAGCGTCACCAGGAATGATACCTCAAGATTCATTCCTTACTGAATTATTCTCAAAGGAAACCCCCATCAGGCAGAAGGTGATGAACACCACAGACTGTAGGTAGCAGGAAGAAGCTACCACACAGTGGTGGTTCCCACATGCCCACACAAAACATGCCAGCAGGAAGAAGTAGAAAATATGTTAACTTAGGTTCCCTGTCAGGACATCCTGGCTTGAGACACAGGGCTGGCACTGCAAAATATAAGAGAACAGACAGATGGGAAGCTTCCAGAAGGCCTATGGAGGCAGATCATGTCCTTGAGAATCTAGAGATCTGTCAGTCTGCAAAACACAGTTCAAAAGCAGGTATGAAAATAACCTGTTCCAATTAATGACAAGTAGTTTTTCTTCCAGGTGAAGAGGAACCTAAGAACATGAGGACATGAACTGGCTCAAAGAATCTAGCCTGGGGAAGGCTCCATGCACACATTCTGAGTAGAAGGGGCCCTATGTTAAATCAATAGGCTTGGACCAAATTTGCCATAAGGTTATGACAAATTTGGGATACAAGCATTACTGGGTAAGTGGCAGCCTTCATTTTGCTTGTGACTCTGAAGATTATCTGTGAATTCCCAGTGTCCATGGGACCACATGCCTTGCCACCTGGCATTGAACAGTGTAAAGCTACACTAAAGAGTATATACTGTCTCCCTGGCAAGACCACAGGATGAAGGAGAATCCCTTAAAAGCAGGGTGTAGGCCAGGGCCCTCCCTACACTCTGGCTTGTCATGGCAAGTTCAGGATCAGAGAGATCACTCATCTATCTGTTCATTAATTTGTTCATTCACTCATTCAACAGATATTTATAAATATAAATATAATTATAAAGATATTTATAAACACCTCTGAGGTTCCAAGCAGTATTCTAGGTACTGGAAGTGCAGAGGTGAATTAAGACTCATTTCTCTGTATTGAAGAAGTTCAGAATGTAACATCAGAGAGCAGGGCTGGGGATGTGGCTTAAGCGGTAGCGCGCTCGCCTGGCATGCGTGTGGCCCCGGTTCGATCCTCAGCACCACATACAAAAAAAGATCTTGTGTCTTCCGAGAACTAAAAAATAAATATTAAAAATTCTCTCTCTCTCTCAAACAAAACATCAGAGAGCAAAATAAGCCAACAGTTCCAGTAAGGCAGTACGATGGTTGTGTGCCCAAAGTGCTGCCACTATTATTACTATACTAATCTTGTTTTAAGGATGGGGGCACACAGAATGTTAGGGAAAAGTAAGCACAGGCTGTGATGCCTGAAGGTTAGCCAGGGAAGTGGGGAAAAGAAAGAAGGTTGGGGGTGAGGTGGGGCAGGCAATATGCACAATGGAACAAAGGAGAGAGGAAACATGGCTCAGTTAGAACAATGAATGATTCAGTGTGGATGGAAAACAGAGGGTAACAGAGTTAGGGTGGAAGGGATGAGGGTAGATGGAGAAATGAGCAGAACTAGGTGACTAAGGCCCTTGTCATCATGTTAAGGAAGGCTGGGTCTGTTTTATTTTCTTTCTTTCTTTTTTTTTTTTGTGTGTGTTCAGTGCTGTGCTGGGGATCAAAACCTCTCTACAACCGAGCAACATTCATTCCCCAGGGGCTGGGTTTTATGTTTGCTTTATCACCCAAGCATTAAAAAAATAAAAGATGGACACAATTATTTGTCAATGAACAACTGAAGATAACAGGGAACCACAGAAGGGTTCCAAGCAGAACCATATGGCCAGGTTTGCTACATGCTACAAAAAGACTTGAAAAGAGTTAATGGGAGCAGGAATACCAGGTGGAACCTTGCAGGGAACCAGGAGCAAGATGAAGATAGCTGAACCAAGGTCGTGCCCTGGGAGTGGCAAGAAGTGGGTGGACACAGGGTGAGCCTTAATGTCAAAGAGTATGGATACTTTTATAATTTCTCATGGGCAATGCCAGACCACATGCAGAAAGTATTGGTCAACCTACTGATTCTTCAAAACTACAGGTGTACTCTGCTTTCTCAGAATTTAAAAGCTGGTGGTCTCCACCATACATTTCTGTGTCTTAGGGGTGAAGCCACTCCTCAGGTCCCTAAAGGTCTTCTCTTATGCTTATTTCCATGGTCCCTTCTGTGAAAAGGAAGTAAAAAGTAAACACCCTGTTTAGAAAAGGATGGCATGAACTACTGTTAAGTGGCCAACTTCCTTCTACACCATCAGGCCAGGATGTAAGGGAAAAGCCCCATCATTTCTTTTTATTGATTGATTGATTGATTGGTTGGTTGTAGGTGGACACAATATCTTTTTTTTTTTTTTAAGAGAGAGTGAGAGAGGAGAGAGAGAGAGAGAATTTTTAATATTTATTTTTTAGTTCTCAGCGGACACAACATCTTTGTTGGTATGTGGTGCTGAGGATCGAACCCGGGCCGCACGCATGCCAGGCGAGCGCGCTACCGCTTGAGCCACATCCCCAGCCCAAGACACAATATCTTTATTTTATTTTTATGTGGTGTTGATGATGATCAAACCTCGTGCCTCATGCATGTGAGGTGAGCACTCTACCACTGAGCCACAATCCCAGTCCCCCATCATTTCTTTTTTTTTTTTTTTTTTTAAAGAGAGAGGAGAGAGAGAGAGGGAGAGAGAGAGAGAATTTTTAACATTTATTTTTTAGTTCTCGGTGGACACAACATCCCCGTTGGCATGTGGTGCCGAGGATCGAACCCGGGCCGCACGCATGCCAGGCGAGCGCGCCACCGCTTGAGCCACATCCCCAGCCCCCCCATCATTTCTTTACAGAATGTCTGAGCCTGAAGGACCAAGAGAGGTCAGTTCAAGCCCTTCTCATGCAGAAACAGCAGCCAGAATTCCAAGGGGTAGAGGCATTTGCCCAAGGGTAGATCTGGAGGTCAGCAGAGCCAGCCAAAAACTGGTCTCCCAGATGCTCTTCTATTAGGCATCCATTTAAATTTCCCCCAACTGATAATTAACAGAGGGGGCAACTAGAGGGTTCAGGTGATACCAGGAATTTAAGTCACTAAGTGTAGTTCAGCTACCAGCCTTACTCATTTTGGGTTGTATATATCTGGCCTCATTTCCCCTTCAGCTTCAAAAAGAATATAGTGGACCACTCTTTCAAAGGTCTTAAAGGTCAATGTGGATTGTTTTAAAATTTTTTGGTACCAGGGATGGACCCAAGGGGGTTTAACCACTGAGCCATATCCCCAGCTCTTTTTAGTCCCACTAAGTTGCTTAGGGCCTTGCTAAATTGCTGAGGCTGGCTTTGAACTTTGAACTGATCCTCCTGCCTCAGCCTCTGGAGCCACTGGGATTACAGGCTTGCTTCACCATATTTGGCTGGCTAGTGTGGAGGAACTGACGTCCATCTTTCAACCTCAACACAACAACAGGTACTACCTGTTGACACCAGTGTTCATACTGTGCCATATTTAATCTTTCCCTTTTAACCACAAGCTTTTACTTCAGTCTACTATTTTGTCCCATTTTGTTCTTAAACTATTAAAAACTTCCAAATACTTGTGTGTGTGTGTGTGTGTGTGTGTGTGTGTGTATTCAATTTCTTTTCTTTCTTTCTTCTTTCAGTATTGCGGATCAAACCCAGGGCCTTGCACATGCTAGGCAAACACTTTATCACTGAGCTACATGCCCTATCCTGTGTTCCAGTTTCATCTCTGGTAATGATAACACTTCATAGTTTTGAAAGTCTTGGTTCTAGGGGCTGGGGATATAGTTCAGTGGTAGAGTGCTTGTCTAGCATACACAAGGTCCTGAGTGGTGTTGTCTCTCTCTCTCTCTCTCATACACACACACACACACACACACACACACACACACACACACCACACACGTCTTGGTTCTGAAAATGGTGCTGGTGAGCATTCTGAGATCCCTGCCTCAGTCAGTAGTATGTCCAGGCTTACATCAGGGGACAGGGAGCCTCTTGAGGAAACACATGTGGTTTTCATTGATTACACAGCTATAACTGGCTCAGAGTCTTCCTTCCCTACTCTTTGCTCCCCAGCCCCATGCCCAGAGCAGGAAAAGTTGCTGAGAATGTGCTTCTTTAGCTCATTCCTCTTCCCAGTTTAGCTCTTATCACAGTCCAGTTATTTTCTTAGAACTATAGTCTATCACCTGGCAGAGTGATACACACCTATAATCCCACATGGGAAACTAAGGCAGGAGGATCATAAGTTTGAGGCCAGCCAGGGCAAGTTAGTGAGATCCTACCTCAAACTGAAAAATAAAAGAAGGACTGGGCATCTGGGTATATACCTAAAACAAAACAACCAATACCACCACAAAAAATATCAAAATAAAAGCAGAACTGTAGTGTTTCTGTCTAGGGTAAGATTCCATTTTCCTCTATCATTGAACTTGGCTTTTCTGGCTTTCAGAGAACATGCTGGATTCAGAGCTCTTGGCTTATTTTTCTCCAGGCCATGAGTCATATTCACACATTTTATCTTTTGTGGCACAACAGGGTCAGCTCCCCAATTCACAGAAAAATTATTAAAGACTGTGTATCCCTTTTACTTTTATATTCACTTGAATACAATTTACTAAAATCTGGAGAAAACTCATGGGGGCTGTGCACAGTGACCACAAACAGTAGCCTCCCTGGTGGTGCACGCAACCAGTTGTTGTTGTTGTTGTTGTTGTTGTTGTTTTTTGGTTGCCGCAGGGACCTTGGAGACAGCTATTTCCAGTGGACGTTCATGTCTCTGACTTCATGCAGGCACCAATCTAGGCTCCAGACAGGTATGTGGGGTGTCTTTGGGATGTGTCAGGGCACAGTGGCCAGGGTTCACACTGGCCAAGTCTTTATGACCATCCACACCATGCTGCAGAACCAGGAGTATGTAACTGAAACTATGCAGGGCCACATTTAAGTTCCCTGTCTTAGGGTTGGGGAATATAGCTCAATGGTAGAGTGTTTGCCTAGCATGCACAAGGCCCTGGGTTTGATGCCCATCACTGCAAGAAGGAGAAAAAAGGAAAGAAGAGAAAGAATGAGTTCTCTGTCTATACAATATCCACATCTCAAAGAGGTGGGGCCATAATTCAGGTGAGTTTGGAGACATGGTGGCTGAGAAGGAGCTTATCCCAAATGGCTGTGGCAGGCCCTGGCTCCTAAGGGTTTCCACTGGGCAGCTTCTTTCTTACTTACGCCTACTAAAATAAAAGAGGAGGGAGACATTTCAGCATTTCTTCCTGCCTTTCACTCCTGATTTGAATTTTCTCCAAAGCACCTTTATCACCTTCTGTCATACTATATAGTTCATTTGTGTTAGCTCTCTCTCCTCACTAGAATGTAGACTTTTTCGGGGTTGCTTTTGTATTGGGAATTGAAACCAGGGGCACTTTATCATTAAGCTACATCCCATCCTCAGTCCTAAATTTACTTATTTACTTAATTGGTACTGGGGATTGGTCCCTGGGGAATTTTAACCACTGAGCCACATCCCCAGCTCCTTTTTAAAAATTCTTTGACACAAGGTTGTTCAGGGCCTCACTAAGTTGTTGAGGCTGCCTCAGCCTCCCAAGTAATTGAGATTATAGGAATGCACTACCACACCTAGTTTAAAATGTAACTTTTTGAAAACAGGACTTTTTTTTCATGTTATATCTCAAAAACCTATTTACCAAGTTCACACAGAGTTGTAGCTCCAGGACTCAGATCAGCGCCTTACACATATTAGCTATTCAAGAAATGTTGAACAAACTGTTGAATGAATAGTTTTCTTTCAATAGGTCTTCCTTATTTCTGGGCTCTACCACTTCCCTCTCCCACAAAAAACATGCCTTTCCATTGGCTCTAGGTAGTTCCCCTCCATCTCCAGCTACTGACATTACATTATTCTGTAGGACCTACTCACTCCTCTGTGGCACTATCCCTTAACCTTCCCCAGCAATCTCACCCTCCCCTGAATCCACCGCAACCCAGGTATGTGTCCCTTACCTAGAATTCAGCATTTTCTACTGTGTGTGTGTGTGTGTGTGTGTGTATACACACACACACACACAAATATACTTTTCCTGAATAATGTGACTGCAATCAGGCCAGTAGTAGACACTGGTTAGTATTTCCTGGGAAAAGCTGGTTTCCTGTCCCCTTTCCACTCCCTTTTCCCACAGTTCATCAGCCAGTGCTAAATGGACCCAGGACAAGGACCCAGATGTGGGCCTGATACTTTCAGGCTGGTCTATAGTGAGGGGAGTTATATCTCAAACACCTATTTACCAAGTTCACACAGAGTTGAGGGACATACAAACCAAATGTCAATTTGCTGACTGACCCTGAGGAATGGTGACAGACCAGGTGGACTGGAATACTTGAACTGGCCTAACCAGTTGATCTCCCCATGCGCTGAAGACTGCTTAGTAAATGTAAAACAAAAGTAACCACCTAAAGTCAGTTCTCTGTTAAGGCAAGAGCTTCTCATTGCTACAGGAGCCACCTGACCACAGAAATCAGAGCTCAAGTCTCCTTAGTCAGGATCTAGCCCCAGTTAGTCACCACCAGCATGGGTCTTGCCAAGGCTCACTTCTATACTTCTGAGGATGACCAGACCCCTTCTGTTCACTTCTTCAAACTGGTTCATAACATAACTGAGTAGACTTAACCTAAATTATAGTCACTCTCCAGCCCCTCACTTGTCTGCAAGTTCCTGAGGGTCCACACTTTGTAGGTCTCAATAAGTATGTCAGCTAATTTAGGTCAGGAAAAGCTGCTTTGGCAGCAAAGAAAGGAAGGGAAAACCTCACTCAATTCCACGGGTCCCTGGGTCAACCAGTTTCATGCACTGTTTTGATCTGAAACATAGAAGCTACCTGTTCAGAACTAAGAAGTACCTACCTACAAAGCCCTGTGTTTTGAAGAACTATTCCTAAATACTTAGGCCTTCATTTGTTTGCCTTGGAAGTTTCTCTTTCTCATACTTCAGCCAAGTTTTGAGATTGGAGGCTGGGGGAGAGAGACTTCTGCCTCTGTTGACTTTCTCTTGTCCCTATGGTTCCACATACAACTCAACAGCAAGTAGGGGCTTCCATTCTCATAACATGAAGCAAAGAACATACCTGACCCTGGGGGGCATTGAATCCAAATTACACAGGCGTCACATCTCTGCACTGCTGATTGGCAAAGGAGCAATGGTTTGTATAAGTAGCAGGTGCAGGAGAGGTGACTCCTGCCAGATGGTGCTAAAAAAAGGCCCAACTCTGATACACAGGACTCCTTTCATTAACCCCTCCAAGACCAAGGAAGAGTGGGGGAGGGTTGCCTCTCCTCTGCCTTTTGGGGATTCTACCTCAATGCCCTCCTTCATCTGTTACTTATGCGGTTTTTTTTGTTTGTTTGTTTTTAACCAGGGATTGAACTCAGGGGCACTAGGCCACTGAGCCACATCCCCAGTGCTAATTTGTATTTTATTTAGAGACAGGGTCTCACCGAGTTGCTTAGCACCTCGCTTTTGCTGAGGCTGGCTTTGAACTTGCAATGCTCCTGTCTCAGCCTCCCAAACTGCCAAACTGCTGGGATTACAGGCATAAGCCACCCCGCATGGTTTAATGTGTGTTTTATTTTGTTGTTGTTTTTTGGTACAAGGGATAGAACATGGGAGCACTTAACCACTGAGCTATATCCCCAGCCCTTTTTTGAGACACGGTCTCACTAAATTGTTTTGGCTGGTCTTGCAATCTCCTTCCCTCAGCCTCCCAAGTAGCAGGGATTACAGGCATACGCCTGAACACCTGGCTACCTAGTGTGGTTTTGTTCTGAGACAAACGGCTGAGAACTTGGAGGGGTAGGCCATAGTGTAAGATGCCTTCGTTCATACCCTCTAATATGGTCCCTAGCATCTCAAGACTGTGAGGGAGACCTGACCAGATGATCCTTTCTTGCCAGAACCCTAGAATACAACTTCAGTGGAGTCTCCAAGAGTATGGCTCTATGTCATCCCTGCTATGAGATATGAGGTGACCCATTTCAAACTGCTGAACCAATTTCCTTATATCAAATGTTCCACCTACCTCACAACACCCTTATGGACTCAGATGAGCTCACTTGTATCTTTATTTTTACGTGGTGCTGAGGATCGAACCCAGTGCCTCACACATGAGAGGCAAGCACTTTACCATTGAGCTATAGCCTCAGCCCCTCAGATGAGCTCACTTGTGAAAAAAATTTAGGTCAGTCCCTGACCTGTGCCACATTAGCACTTTCTTTTCTTCCTTACAGGAGATGGTCCTTGTCAGTCTCCTTCAAGCTACTGGAGGCTAACTCCTCTCCAGGGTTCAGGCCACCCTCCCATGATGGTCACAGCAATGTCACACAAGGTGAAAAATTCTGGGGAGGGGCAGTAAAAACTGTGCATGCATCCTATACGGGTCTTCCAGTAAAGAGTGAAGTAGGTGCTAGGGTAGAGAAAACTTCCCACAGTTCACATGAGGCAGAGGGTCACAGATGAGCCTTTGGCCATCCTTTCTTCCAAAGCCCCTCGTTGGGTTATGAAACGCATCCTAAGAAAAGAGAAGCTGCTATTAACAGCCTGAACAAGGAAACCCCAAAATCTTTTGTTTTATGGACAACGCAGGAATCACCGCCTTCTTAAAGCTGACCCTTCTGATCAGGTGGGAATTAGTGAAGACATCAATGCAGGTAGACGCAACGCCCACCACGCGCCAGACGGACTACTGGTTCAGTGAGGCGGACGGTGCTACAAGTACTTCACAAAGGAAAACCGAATTTCAGAGATGCTGAATGGCTTGCTCAAGGCTAGCAGCACACAGCAAGCGGTGGCCCGGGTGCAAACGCACAGCTCTTTTCGGGGCGCCCTATTCTTTCCCTACCTGACAGGCACCGCCCAGGTGAGGGCTGCAAAATGCTAGAAAGGGCTGACGACAAATTAGCGCCGGCACAGGGCGGGGCGGGGCCCTGGGCGCAGCGTTCCCTGCAGCGACGCGCGGTTGGGAGCTCGGGTGCTACTCGGCACCTCGTGCTCTGAGGCCGCTCCGCCGCCCCAGAGGACCTCGTGCCCACATCCAGGCGTAGGCCTGTCCGCAGGAGGGCGCAGCCGCCCAGGGTGCTAGGAAGTCGGTGCGCGACCGCCCAACGATCGCCCTCTGAGGAGCCTCGCGCCAGGCCGCTTCGTGCCCGCTTAGTCAGCAGCTCGGCTGGGCGCGCAGGTCCAGGCTGGGCCCCAGGGTGGGTCACGAGGCGGGCGCGGCCCCCGCCAGACCAGCGCGCGCAGCTTGCCCTCCTCCCTCCCGCACCTCCCCCTCTTTCCTTTCCCCTCCCCCTCTTCGCTCTCCACTCCCCTCCCTGAGAGGGCCGCAGCGCGCGCCACGTCCCCAGCCCCGCCCCCGCAAGCCACGCGGGGAACCCCGGTGACGTCACCACCTTCCAGCCCTCGCATTCCCGCGCTCTCCAGAAAAGACGCGAAGGTGGTGACGTGTCCTAGGCTCCAATACGGCTGCGCAAGCAGCGTAGGTAACTGAACGTCCTGCGGCGCCGCCTGGTGGAAGAAAGCCGCTAAGGCGGCCGGAAGCGGCGGCGCGGGCGAGGGGAGAGCGTGACTTACGTCATCGCGCGGAGGCGAGCAGGCGGCTGCCGCGTGACCAGCCCCCACCCGGGGTGTTTTAGTGTCGTCTTTTATTTTTTTTTCTTCTGCTCCCAGGATAGTGTGAAAGTTTAATTGTGCCTCCACTTTTTTTTTTACTTTGTCTCTTTTAGAATTTGTCAAGCTAATATGATTTATTTTAGAAAATTTAGATGTTAAGAAAATTACATTGTTATCAGCATTCCCAGTCATTTTTAACTATCTACCTTCCCTTGCATTGAACACAGTTGTGATCTTACTGTATAACAGTGGTATTAATTACAATAATTCCCTAGAAATGACAAAAAACATCACTTGAGCTTCAAGACTTCTTAAGAAGAGTTAAAAAAAAAATAGGTGAGATGAGTGATTCACAGCTGATGTGCTGTAACTCACATCATCCAGATGAGGAATGGGTGCAGTGTTAAATAACTTGCCCAAAGTCGTACTTTAATAAGGGTGGCGGAGCTGGGTTTTCAAATTCAGGGCTTAAGATTTGAACCTTAAAATGAAGACTGGGAAAGACAAGACTGAAAAATGAAGCTAGGGAGAAAAACCCACAGGAAATTCACAGAGCTGTGGAATCGGAATGTTTTCTACTTTTGGACGGATCAATTGGAAATATTCACAAGGAATGAGGCTAGTGCCCTCATCTGTTAGAACAACTTTATGGTAGTGTCAGAAAACCCCTCACAAGTGCATCTCAAGTGCACCAACCTCTAGCGCTGCTCTTATTAGTGGCAATGAAAGGTGGAAGGAAAGTTATGGATCAGGTCACAGTCCTACAGTTGGGCACTTTGTGTCACTTGGAAACTTGATAGAAATGCAGAATCTTGAAGACTTAGAATTTATGAATCAGAATACACCTTTTAATCAGATCCCTTTGGTGATTCCTATGCATGTTAAAAGTTTAAATGGGCCATTATAAAACAAACTCTGTGGAATCCATACTTTCAGGTTTCAGGAGCCATAGTTCCTGCCAGGAGCTGTTCTGTTCTGAGCATGAATAAGCCTCAGTAGGAAGTGGATCAGATGAACTCTTGCCCTGGATAGTGGCCCACCTCTACTCCCATGTGGTTGTCCAGCCCTATTTTAGTGTCCATGAACAGTTGTTCATTCTAAGCTGGCTAGAACTGAGTTTCTATCATCTGTAATTGAAAGACGACCAAGAGCCTACTTCATATGGATTTTTTTAGCTTACTGTCCTTGCTTTCCAAGGACAATGAATTTAAGAAAGATATTGAAGCAACACGTTATTGTAATTAGAATACTGAAGTAAAACTAAACATTTTAAAAAATATATATATTTTTAGTTGTTGATGGGCCTTTATTCATTTATTTATGCTGAGAATCGAACCCAGTGCCTCACACATGCTAGGCAAGCGCTCTACCACTGAGCCTAAACTCTAGGCCCCCTAAACATTCCTTTTAATGTGTTTCCAACAAGATATATAACCTCAAAGAGGCTGCTTACTTAAAAAAAAAAAAGGATTCAATGAGAAAAATGATGATATGAGAATGTAAAACAAAGTGCCTGGTATATGGTAAGCACATAGAAAATATATGTTCCCTTCTTTCCTCCTTGAAGACACCTTTCCATTTCTTTTTTAGTATCTCCATTCTGTGATCAGTGAATCCATAAACAGAATTTTACCAACTTAAAACTTTTTGAAGAATAAAAAAAGGAAATAAATGTCAAGTGACTAAGCAATTATAAGCATTAGTTAGAAATATCAATAATCTCTTGCTGCCCAGACCTTTTTTCCCTATATTTCACTATCAGGTCAATCTCTCCTAAAGTTTACAGTGGAATAATTAGGCCAGCATGAGGTATAATTTGGAAAAACTAGTGACACTTTGCTTTATTTGAGAACAGAATAAAAAGCATGGCTGGAACTCTGCCAAGATGGTCCTTTACCTTCTGCCCTAACTGGGGTATTAATTTTCTAACACTGTTGGCATAAGGCTGAGTGCTGCTAACTTCTTAGAGAACTAGAAAAAGGTTGAAATAAAGTCTAAGGGTGAATCTATAAGAAGGAAAGTGAGTTGGTTTTCTTTTTGTTCCTTTTAAAACTGTAGCCAGTTTTAAACTGTCCAACTTATAATGAAGATAATACAAAGCAGCACCCAAAAGGCTATTTATGAGTTTTTCTTCAGCAGAACCCGATTAGCTAAGAGCAGTTTCACTAAAGAATGGGGCCATCTAAGTGCCAAACTAGTATTTAAAGTGGTCAAGGTGAGGATGTGCAAATTTAGCAGCAAAAAAACTCTTGTTTTGCCTCAAGGGAAAGTGAGAGTGGTCAAAGGGGCCAGTTCCAAGGGCTGGTCCAGAGGGGCCCGTTGGTCTTGGTAGTCTGCCACATGCCCATTCCGGTGGTGACCATACTCAAACTTGATCCGCAGCTCGCCAATCTTGGATTGGGGAAGGATGTCTGGGATCCACTCGATGATGAAAGGTGTGGGCTCTTTTTGGTCTGGGGAAGTGTTTCCTAAAAGTGGGAGGGAGAAGGACCACTAATTAGTACAATTCCACCTGACTCTCATGGGCATTCCTTATAGCAAGAAGTGTCTTGGGATGGAACAGTCTCCTCAGCTTTGATAATCAGAAAGTTGAGAAGGGCCTACATAGTTAATGGTGAATAGAGTATCAGGTTTTCTGATCATTATAAAATTAAAACACATATTTGTAATTTAGGTCTTTCTTAACTGATATTGCAGGCTAGAGTGTCAGCTGAATGGCAGATATGAAACAAAAAATTCAGATTCAATTTTTTTTTTTTTTTAAGAGAGAGTGAGAGAGGAGAGACAGAGAGAATTTTTAATATTTATTTTTTAGTTGGCGGACACAACATCTTTGTTGGTATGTGGTGCTGAGGATCGAACCCGGGCCGCATGCATGCCAGACAAGCGCGCTAGCGCCTGAGCCACATTCCCAGCCCCCAGATTCAATTTCTGTCAGTTAAAATAAGGATGGTTTTCAGGAGAAAAAGTAAAAAACAAAAATTTTTAAAATATATAATAAAAAAATGATAGAGGAGAAAGACCCTAACTAAATATATGTACAGTATACCTTTTTTTTCTCTCAGTATTACTTATTTCTGACTTCATAAACTAATATTCTATTTTTAAAAAATATTTAGTTTTTAGTTGTAGTTGGGCACAGTACCTTTATTTTATTTTTTAATTTTTATGTGGTGCTGAGGATTGAACCCAGAGCCTTGCATGTGCTAGGCGAGTGCTCTACCACTGAGCCACAACTCCAGACCCCTAATATTCTGTTTTTCACTTCACTATCTTATTCCCCCTCCATTTTATCCCCAATAACTTTTCATCCTTTCTTCTTCTTCTTCTTCTTTTTTTTTTCTTCCAGTGCTGGAACCCAGGGCCTCATGCATGCTAGGCAAGAAATAAATTATATTCTAAGACACTTCTCCTTACTGCCCCTTCTATCAAATTGTAACATAGTTTCTGAGATCTCTTTGTATCATCTTAAAACCACAACAGTTTTCACATGGCAAAGTTTCTTTTCCCATCAGAAAAGTGGCTAGTACATCTACATCTACTAAGCATTTTGTAATCAAGGACCTTAGAATCACAAAGATATAATATGTAAGATCTGCCAAACTTATTTATTTTAAAAAAAAAGTAATGCTTTTTTTTCCCACAAAATACTTATTACTATCTCTTCTTAAAGACAGAGCTGGAAAATACTACACTGGAAAGATTTTATTATGCAGGGGAAAAGAAAAGATAGGCATGACTCCTAGTTGTTTTTTTTTTTTTTTTTTTTTTTCATCATTGCTCTTGAAATCCTCACTGTCTGAACAAGAAAAAAAGATAAAAATGTTTGATAGGAAATAAAATGATCATGATTTTTGTAGGTGATGTCACCAATTTTACAGAAATGGGAGGGAAGCAACTACTATTATCATTACTAAGACTTTATTAAGGTTAAGAAACTTGGTTAAGAATCTGACAAAATAATTATAATTTTCTCCTGGAATAATACACAGAGAAAAGAAGGGGCCTCTCATCTTCATGGGATATATTCTAAGACCTTCAATGGATGGTTTCCCAAACACACACACACACACACACACACACACACACACACACACACTCTCTCTCTGTTGATATATACACACATATATACACATTTGTCTTGAGTCAGCCCATGTGCTATGTGAGTGAGCTATGCACATGTGAGCTTATAAAGGAACTGAACTGACATTGCTGCCTGATTGGGCTGTGCAATGTTATGTGTGCCTTTTCGGTTGCTCTGCCTTTGATCCCACAGGCACCTGAGATGGGTGTGGCTTTCTAAGCTTTCAGTCAGACTGCCGACCACAAGACATCATCAAGCAAGATTCCACCCTCCAAAATCCAATCTCTTGCCTTATTTGGGTGGAATATTCTATGAATGGCTTCTCCCCAATCAATAGGGGGGTTTCAAGTGTGCTTGCTCTCTTGCCTGCCTCTTGTCTTCCTTGCTCTCCTTGCCCTTCAGCATAGGAGCTTGATTCTTGAGGCTGCAGAGCTGTCCTGAATCCCGAAAAAGGTATTTTCTGTGTTTGTGTATTTTTTTTATTGTCAGCCCAATCCACCAGGAATGACTCTGATTCTGTTGCATATTATGACACACATATAAACTTCAATTTATATATTAGACACACTAAGAAATTAATAATAATAATAAAGTAAAACAGTTATAACAATATACCATAATAAAATTACCAGCATCACTACTCTTGTGCTTTGGGGTCATTATTAAGTAAAATAAGGGTCATCTGTCTACAAATACTGAACTGATAGTTAAGATTTAGTCTCTGAGGAGTGGGGATATAGCTCACTGGTGAAGCACTTGTGCCTAGCATGTGTGAGGCCCTAGGTCCAACTCTTGGCACTGCAAAAATAAATAAATAAATAATTTTGGCTCCTGAGATAGCTGTTAAGTGTCCAATGGGCAGGTAGTATATATATAGTATGGACTCACTGGACAAAGGGATGATTTACATCTCAGGTGGTATGGAGAAAGATTAACACCTAATTTCATCATGCTACTCAGAATGATGTGCAATTTCAAACTTATAAATTGTTGTGTTGGGAGCAGTGTTGCATGCCTGGAGTCGTAGCAGCTGAAGAGGCTGAGGCAGGAGGATCACAAGTTCAAAGCCAGCCTCAGCAACTTGGTGAGACCCTTTTTCAAAATAAAATATAAAAAAGAACTGGGAATCTAGCTCAGTGGCTAAGCAACCCTGGGTTTAATCCCCCATACAGAAAAACAAACAACAACAACAAAAGAAACTTATGAATTATGTATTTCTGTAATTTTCCATTTAACATTATCAGATAGAAGTTGACTGAGGGTAACTAAAACTACAGAAAACAGAAAATTGCAGATAAGGGTATTACTGTATACCAAAACCAAGAGCTTTCCATACAGTGGCAATAACAAGTTAGAAACAACTATCTCATTCACAAGAGCAACAAAAAAATGTAAAATGTAATATACCTAAGAATATGTTCATAAGAATCTGATAAAATAATTATAAATTATAATTTTCTCCTGGAATAATACACAGTTGAAAGAAAAGAAGGGGCCTGCTAGATAGATCACAAAGCTAGAAAAATAATTAAAACTATGGCTGGGGCTGAAGATGTGGCTCAAGCGGTAGCGCACTTGCCTGGCATGCGTGCGGCCCAGGTTCCATCCTCAGCACCACATACAAATAAAGATGTTATGTCTGCCGAAAACTAAAAAATAAATATTAAAAAATTCTCTCTCTCTCTCTCTCTCTCTTAAAAAACAAAAACAAAAAAACTATGGCTGATGTAAGGGGAAAAAAAAAAAAGGAAAATGCCCCAATATGCCTAGCATTCATTCAGACATTTAACAAGTCTTTAATGAATACCTATTATGACCAGGCATTTAGCCATCATTAGACCATGTGGTACAGTGATTAACAGGAGTGCCACAGTTCACTGCCTTGGAAGGGCTTATAGTATAGTCAGTGGAAAGAAAACTGAGTACTAGATGGTTGGTGCAGGCTCTGGAGTCCAAAATGGTGTGAGGTTGAAGCAGCACTACCACTTACTAGGTAGGTAACCCTGGGGGGGGGGAGGGGGCGCTGCACTGACCTTCTCTTCTGTTTCTTCCTCTGTAAATGGGGATTATGAAATCTACCTCTCAGTGGACTGATGAGCATAAAATGAGGAAATATAAGGCACATATAAAGCATTTAATTTTTTTTTTGGTACTGGGGATTGAATCCAGGGGTGCTTTACTGAGCCACATCCCCAGCCCTTTTTATTTTTTATTTTGAGACAGAGTCTTGCTAAGTTTCTGAAGGTCTCACTAGATTGCTGAGGCTGGTCTCAAATGTTGTGATCCTCCTGCCTCAGCCTCCTGATTACAGGTGTGTGCCACTATGCCAGGCTATATAAACCATTTAAAATAACACCTGGCACAAAGCAATTGCTAATTAAATGCTTTTTATAGACATTATTGCATAAATACCCTAATTAAAAACAAACAAACCAAAAAAAAAAAAAAACAATTCATCAAACAGAAATGACTTTTGATAGAATTCTCCCAGTGAAACATCTAGGCCTAAAGATTTCTTTTTGTGTATGTGTGTTCATTCTGAATTTAATTTCCTTAATAATAAAAAAACCCATGGCTCAGTGGCAGAGTGTTTGCCTCATACATGTGAGGGACTGGGTTCAAACCTCAGCACCACATATAAATAAGTAAAAAAATGAAGTTAAAAAAATGGTCCATGGACAACTTAAAAAATATTTTAAAAATAAAAAATACCACAAATGATAAATATGCAAAGTTAACCCTCTTTAATATTTGAGGAAAATGCAAATTAAAAGAGAATTTTTTTTAATCTATCAAATCAACAAAAATTAAAAAAGAGTTTCTCCTTTTCTCTCTCTCTCTTTTTTTTTCTTTTCCTTTCTACAGTACTGGGGATTGAACCCAGAGCCCTGTGCATGCTAGACAAGCACCCTACCAATGAACTATAGCCCTAGTCCAAGAAATGCTTAAACATGGCTAGCAGGAATACATTCTAAAAATATTACAATCTTTCTAGAGAGCTGATGGATAAAAGCCTTAATATATACATAAACTTTGACCCTCCAATTTCTTTTTTAAGACTTTGTCCCAGGGAATATCCTACATAAGTTAGAAAATAAGAAAAGTTTATTTATGAGGAAGCTAATTTCAGTACTGTTTTAGTTAATAGAAAAAAGTTTGAAACAACTTAAGTAGGGGATTGATTAGGTGACATTCCAATGAATGAATTTTATATACACGTGTGTATATGTACATATATATATAAATATATATATATATATGCATATACACACATATATTTATATGTCTTTATGTATTTTTTTCTTTTTTTGTTATTGTTGTTGCTGGGGTTCAAATCTCGGGGTGCTTTACCACTGAGCCACACCCTAGCCCTTTTTATTTTGAGACAGGGTCTCACTAAATTGCGGCTGGCCTCAAACTTGCAATCCTCCTGCCTCTTCTGCCTCCAGAGTCATTAGGATTACAAGTGTATGCCACTGAGCATGTGCAGTAATTGAGTTTTATGCAACTGCTAAAAAATATTATTGTATGCTGGGTGCAGTGGCCCATGCCTATAATCCCAGCAATTCAGGAGACAGAGGCAGGAGGATCAAGTTCAAAGTCAGTCTCTACAACTTAGTGAGGCTCTAAGCAACTTCATGAGACCCTGTCTCAAAATAAAATAAAAAATTAAACGGGCTAGGAATGTAGATCAATGATAAAGCACCTCTGGATTCAATCCCCAGTACCAAAATACAGACATACATACATAAATAACACTGTAAGTTGGGGGCGTATTCAGTGTAAAACATGTGCTTAGCATGCCCAAGACCCTGAGTTCAATCTCCAGCACCACATAACCCACAAAAAATGAAACAAACAAACAAACAAAACCTTGTGTATTCACAATAGCTAAAATGCAGAAGCAACCCAAGTGCACATCTATAGATGAATGAATAAACAAAAAGGTATATATACATACAATGGAATGTTATTCACCTTATGAAAGAAGGAGATTTTGACTTAAGCTACGAACCTTAGAGAGAACTTATGCTAAGTAACATAAGCAGGTGCAAAAGAACAGGTATTGTATGATTCCACTTATGTAGGTACTAAGAGTAGTTAAACTCAGAGACAGAAGTAGAAGGTGGGTGGCTAGGGATTTGGAGGAGGCAGGTATGGAGAGCAGAAAATGAGTTCAGTTTTTTTTTTTTTGGTGTGTGTGTGTGTGTGTGTGGTGTTGGGGATTGAACCCAGAGCCTTGTACATGCAAGGCAAGCATTCTACCAACTGAGCTATATCCCCAGCCCAGAATATGAGTTCAGTTGAGGAAAATAAAAAGTTCTGAAGATTAAGTGATGGTTACTCAGCAATGTGAATGTACTTAATGCAAAATAATTGTACACTAAAAAATAGTTTTAAGCTGGGTGCATGGCGTACACCTGTAATCCCAGTGACTTGGGAGTCTGAGGCAGGAGGATCACGAGTTCAAAGCCAGCCTCAACAAAAAAGTGAGGCACTAAGCAACTCATGAAACCCTATCTCTAAATAAAATACAAATAGGGCCGGGGATGTGGCTCAGTGGTTGAGTTTCCCTGAGTTCAATCCCTGGTACTCTTTTTAAAAAAAAGTAGTTTTAAACTGGTGTGGTGGTGCATACCTGTAATCCCAGTGACTCAGGAGGCTGAGGCCAGCTCAAACAACTTAGGAACACCCTGTCTCAAGATGAAAAATAAAAAGGGCTGCTGAGGATGTGGCTCAATGGTAAAGTGCCCGTGAGTTCAACTCTCAGTACAAAAAATTAAAAAATAAATAAAAATGGTAAATTTTCTACTATGTATATTTTTAAATAATGATAAAAAAGTTTAAAAAATAACATTAAAGACAGACATGGAGGGCTGGGGTTGTGGCTCAGTGGTAGAGCGCTTGCCTAGCATGTGTGAGGCATTGGGTTCGATCCTCAGCACCACATAGAAAACTAAATAAATAAAATAAAGATGTTGTGTCTATCTACAACTAAAAAAAAAAAAAAAAAAAAGATAGACATGGAAAGCAGTTCATCATGTAGTAATAAGTTAAAAAAAAAAAAAAGCAGCAGAAGTACATCCCATGTTTTGGAAACTCTTGATGTACAGAAGAGTCTGAAAGGATATGCACCAAGAACTTAACAGTGATGCTCCCTACTGCATGGAGGGGTGGGGATTAAATGTGGTTTTAAATTTAGTCCTTTATGTTCTATAATGAAATCTATAATTTTTCTCCAGAGAGACTCTATTTCTCTTAACATGTATGACTTCAGTAATTTTATTTTGAAGCAGTGGCTCAAATGAGACAAAATACTTTATCCCATCACTGCCTTTACGAAATGAATATATGTGTCTTTTTTTGATTAAGGTCAAGATTCAAAGCCTCAGAAAGCCAGATGTGGTGGTGCATGCCTGTAATCCCAACGACTTGGGAGGCTAAGGCAGGTGTGAGTTCAAAGCCAGCCTCAGCAATTCAGTGAGGCTCTGAGCAACTTAATGAGACCCTGTCTCAAAATAAAACATAAAAAGGATTGGGTTGTGGCTCAGTGGTTAAGTGCCCCAGGTTCAATCCCTGGTACCAAAATAACTAACTAACTAACTAACTAAATAAATAAATAATTTAAAGCCTCAGAGAGTGTAATGTACAGAGACGACCCTTGAAGGAAGAAACTCACCAACTTTGAGGAAAGTTTTTAGTTCCAAGGGTCGAAGCACTGGTTGCTTTTCTATGCGACCGTAAGTTTCTGCTATGCACTCCACTTCCACTTTGGGGCATTTAAACAGCTCATAAGTCCCATCTCGGTTCTGGATAAAGCTACGGGTGATTTCCAAGGGCATCTGGATACCAGGACAAAACAAGAAAGGTGAGACATGGAAAACTTTCAAAGTAGACAAATACCTGGATGGCAATAAATCTTTTACGATTCCTTCTTTCTTGTTAAGTGCCAATGAATTAAAACTTTCCTTTGTATTTCTGAGTAAATCCTGTTCACAAATCTGCCTTTTCTCCTTTACATCATTTCTGGCTTTCCTTAATTTGAACTCCAGCAAAATCATATACCAATTGAACCTGTAAGATCTTCACAACTACAGGGCTGCTACTGACACAGACATGCTCTAAAATCAGTTTCATTACTTCTCCTCCTGGCAGCATTCTTCTGAACAGTGTTTTGATAGCACTTACGGCTCACCTCACATCCTGTGTGCTTCACACTATCCTAGGACTGAGCCAGATAGAGTCTGAACCAAATAGCAGGGTGGCCCTGAGCAAGCTAACTTCTCAGGGCCTGTTTTCTCATCTGCAAAACTCAGTGTCTACCCATGCATGGCTGGGAGGGTAAAGGAGACAATGTAGGTAAATAATGACCAGGAAAAGCTGGTCAATGATCACTGGCTCGTTCTCCTAACCTGCCTTTGCCTTGGGTTGCTTTGATGCTTTCCTGAATGCCACCTATTCTAGGCTAGAAGCTGCCTCTGGACACCCTGCATTTAAAGTTCCCAAGTCTTTAGTGCTAACACAGGCCTTTTCCTGGGTTCATAGGAAAGTTCCATAGCTACCAAACAACTTATTCTTTTTCTGAACATAAAAATGCTTTGCCACTGAGGTAGTCTTAATGTATCAAATCACAGTATGCTGGGTTGGGGATGTGGCTCAAGCGGTAGCGCGCTTGCCTGGCATGCGTGCGGCCCGGGTTCGATCCTCAGCACCACATATAAACAAAGATGTTGTGTCTGCCGAGAACTAAAAAATAAATATTAAAAATTCTCTCTCTCTAAAAAAAAAAAAAAATCACAGTATGCTGAATTTTCTACAATATTCCTTCTCAAATTCTCAAGATCTGTTTGAAAATTTTTAAAATGTCTATTGTGTCTCTGGTGAAAGACAATGATAATTAAGGGCCATTTCTCTTGCAAAAACCAAATTACACTTTGGGAAGGAGGGTTTAATTGTACCCACTTGACTTTACAAAGAGTATATCATCTAAAGTAACTCATATCCTTTCTAGCTGCCTGCTAATCAAATCTAGGGGTCATCATAGCTACTATGGGATCATTACTGAATTTATAAGACCCTGCTTTCTGAATCTGAAGGCAGAGAAAAATTATACTTTAAGACATCTTTTTATTGTTGGTGGGATTGAAACCAGGGCTTTGTGCATGCAAGGCAAACACTTCATCATTGACTACATCTCTAGCCCTTAGAATTTTTTTTTTTTTTTTAAATTTTGAGACAGGGTTTCAGGAAGTTGTTTAGGCTGGCTTTGAATTTGTGATCCTCCTGCCACAGCCTCCCAAGTAGCTGGGATTACAAGCATGTGCCACCATATCTGTTTATGACAATTTTTTAAAGTGGGAATACCCAGTAAAATCAGAGTCAGAACTGTAACAACTACTTCTGAATAACCTCTGGCATGAAAAAAAGGAACTCAGAACTGGCAAAGATCTCAGGGAACTACTGCAAACTTACTCCCTACACTAGCTTCCCTCCCTGCCCTCCCACTACTGTAGAAATAAACTCTTACCTCTGGGGTATCTAAGATTTGCTTAACTTGTAGAATATTAGTGATATGCCAGGTGTACTTGGAAAAGGTTCCCAGCGGCAAGGCATCTTTTCGAACAAAAGCTTCAATGTAAAAAAGGGACAAAATTAGACTACCATACAATACCATTCCCTTTCACTGTATTTGCTACTCGATTTCTAGAGTTCAGTGCAATGCTACCTTTTCCTTATATAATCTCAACACTTTTTTTTTATCTTGAACATATTTTTATTGTTGCATGAATCATGCTGTATGGCAATGACTTCCTTACATATTTTTATGCATCATAATAATAGCAACTGTATGCCAAATGCTTACAAGTGCCAATTTAATCTTCAAAATAAAACTATGAAGTAGGTACTACTATCATCTCTATTTTATAGGTGAAGAAACTAAGGCATAGAGAGCCTAACAATTTCTTCCAGGGGCGAACAGTACTAACTCTTGCATTTAACTGAAGCATGTCTCAATCTAAGTTCTGTCCTGGTAAACCTCTGCCACTTTAGGCACATACTGCAGGGAGCCCCAACTCCCAAGGTGTCCACCAAAAGATTAGGAAGTTCATGGGTGGATTAAGCAGATAGCTTTGTGGAATATTACAGAAAGAACTTTCCTATAAGACCGTTAGACCCTATGTTTTAGTCAGCTTTTTCACTGCTGTGACCTAGAATTTCAAGACTTTAGTTTTTTTTTTTTTGGTACCAGGAATTGTACCAGCCCAGCTGCTTAGAGGCTCACCAAGTTGCTGAGGCTGCCTTTAAACCTGTGATTCTCCTGTGCCAGCCTCTCAAGCTACTGGGTTTATAGATGTGCACCACTGCACTCATCGAATCTCAACACTTTTAAAAAATATATATTTTTCATTGTAGATGGACACAATACCTTTATTTTATTTATTTATTGTTTTATGTGGTGCTGAGGATCAAATCCAGTGCTTCACACATGCTAGGCAAGCATTCTACCACTGAGCCACAATCCCAGCCCAAATCTCAACACTTTAAAATATATAGCAGGGTTTGGCAGATATGTGACAAATCCAGTGATAAAGATTTCTGCTATGTGAAGTCTCTAGTGCTCCTTTTGAGATCCTACTTATTTTTGCTACCTTAGACACTTGTAAAGGCATGTGCACAGGACTCCACTTTAAAATAGACTCTTACTACTTCAGATGTTACAGCTTAAATTAAATTATAATCTTTAAAATAATTACATAAACACTTGTCTTACATGCATAAAGCCCTGGGTTTAATCCCCAGCACCTCAAAAAGAAAAAAAAAAAAAAACAATTACATGGAGTTTAAGATTTCTAACATGACTGCCAATCCTGCCAATCCACTGCCTACATGCAGGATTATATGTAGTTCCACCAAAGAGCCTAGAAAAATAGACAATGGATGGGTTGAAATTACTGTATTAGGTCTCAAGTTTAAACTGGAAAAAAGACTCTACACTGTTTCAAAAGTCAGATTGTTAAGCTATGAACACAAAGATTTATATGTCCCCAAACATAGTGACCCACAGCTTGCAATGTTCAAAAAATGAGTTAAAACTCAAGAAGTCACGATTGTATCAAAGAATAATTTACTGAATAACACTAGTTTCTGTGTGTAGTTACTCTTGGCCATTTGCCACTAAATAATATTTTTTTTCATCCATTTCCTTTCCTTATTTCCTATACTATTTAATAAGTGTCTTGAGATCCCTAGAAGAGAGATGTTAATAAGTACTGGAACAATATAATAAAGTGTTAGAGTTAGGGATGTATCTCAGTGGTAGAGTCCATTCTTAGCATGTGTAAGGTCCTGGATTTAGTTCCCAGTACCAAATATATAAAGGTCAAAGCCTATAAATTACTCCTTCATCAAATGTTGAAAAAAAAAGATTTTTAAAAACCAAAATGTTTTAATTTATATATAATCCTCTTCCAAGAAGCTGGTCCAAATAACTACTAGGGCCTGCAATGCTTTTGCAGAAATTGGTTCCTAATTAGAAATTTCAAACTTACCTACTTACCTATCTATCATCAATCAATTGTTTATCTATTTTACAGTACAGAGAAGTGAACTCAGGGGAACTCAATAGCTAAAATACAACTCCAGCCCTTTTTATTTTTAGACAAGGTTTGCTAAATTGCAGAGACTGGCCTCAAACTTACAACCCTCCTGCCTTGGCCTCTGGAGTATCTGGGATTATAGGTGTGGCCACCACACCTGGTCCTGCTGTGCTCTTAATTGTTCTTTTACCAAGCTTATGTTTTCTTAATTTTTCTTCTAACCTCTTACTGGAATAAGTAAGAAAAGGGCCTTTGAAGAGTGTGGTCACTATTCCAAGAGCAAATTATTGAAGGCTTCATGCTCCAAGCATGTCTAGAAGTCCTAACCCTGAAAGTTTATACAATTTTTTTCTCAATAATTCTCTAAGGTCAAATATCCATTGCTGTTCCTAAAGGAGAATTCTGTACCTGTGGTGGAGTTGGGGAGACGTTTTTTTGCACTTCCTATTGATATTCTCTGTTGCAGCGCATCAAAAAAGGACTGAGGAATGTGGAACACCAGTGGCTCTGGTTTGCCTACAGAAATGAGAAGGAAGTCATTTAAAAAACTCAGTGGGCTTTCTGATGTGCAGAGAGAGGTAAAGGAAGAGAAATGAAGGAGCAGTAACAACCACACTCCTGGGGTTTCTTTACACAGAAGCAAAAATAAGGCTCAGATGGACCTTCATGAGTCAAGCAGTCATCATCCCTATTCTTGTGCCCTTCAATCATAAAACACATGGCAGACCCTTGTTTCCCATTAAGGATAACTTTTGAATCCCCAATTTTGTAAATATCACCATGCTCATTTTTTCTCCTTAAAGGATATGTGAAATGAGCTGAGAACATTGAGGCCAAGCTGAGGAAAACCTAATCATCTGTATCTACTTGTTTCATTCCTGCTCACTATCCCTGGTCACTTTGCTATTTGCATTCATATCTAAGCAAAGTATGCTCTTACCTGGATGGTCAGGAAAATGATTGCTGAGAGACTGCAAAACTAGGACACTGCTTATCTAGTAAGCATCAGTTGTTCTAAGAATGCTCTGAAGACAGGTAAAATATTTGAAAAGTACTGAGATCTCTCAAAGAAACCTGAGCCAACAAAAAGTCAAGAGGTACATCCAGGAAGGTCAAATTTCTTTTTATTTAAAAAAAAATTATGAAGATCAAATTTCTGTGTTTATCCACATGGTTTTGGATGTTTTCTCTCTGATTGCACTAGCCCTTGGGAGAAATGTTTAAGGAAAACTTGGAATTCATTTTTCTTGCTCCCCAGAATTCTCATTTTGTTCATTTATTGGTACTGGGGTTGGAACCTGTGGTGCGCTACCACTGAGTTACATCCCCAACTCCTTTTCTTTTTGAGACATGGCCTCAAATGTGTGATCCTCCTGACTTAGTCTCTGGAGTTGCTGGGATTACATATATGTACCATCTTGCTCTGTTTCGAGGAACTTTATTTATTTATAAATATATATATATTTTTAGTTATAGATGGACACAATATTTTTTTAAAAAAGTTTTTCAGTGGACACAACATCTTTATTTTTATTTGTATGTGGTGCTAAGGATCGAACCCAGTGCCGCACGCATGCCAGGCAAGCGCACTACCACTTGAGTCACATCCCCAGCCTGGACACAATATTTTTTATTTATTTATTTTTATGTGGTGCTGAGATTTGAACCCAGTGTCTCACGCATGCAAGGCAAGTGATCTACCACTGAGCTACAACTCCAGTCCCGAGGAACTTTATTTTTTAAAATGATGTTCATTAGCTAGAATATATTCAACAAATAACATCAAGATGATATGAGGTCTGTGAAGATGTTATGAGGAGTGTTTGATGAATTGAGATGTATTGCTTGGAAAAAAGAAGACTTGTCAAGCAAGTCAAGGGGTCTATGTGTATGCAGTGGCAGGGACTGGTTTTTGGAAATGAGACCACACCTACCATGTAGCTAGAACACAGAACTAAAAGCAATGAAAAGTATTATGTTATGAGCTCAAAAAGCACTGAACAAAGCCTGGAAACCATCCACTGAGGATGTGTTCAAGGTAATGGGAAGGACCAGCTGAGTACTTGCCTCTGACATCACTGAGTTCCATTAGGCTACAACAAATCACACCCAAATCCAGCCTGCACTCTCCAATATTCCTTAGCATGTCTATGTAATCCCCCCGCCACCAGTACTGGAGTTTGAACTACTGATCTACATCTCCCGACCTTTTTATTTTCTAAACTGAGACGGGGTCTCACTAAATTACCTAGGTTGGCCTCAAACTTGTAATTCTCCTGCCTCATCCTCCCAAGTAGCTGGGGATTACATGTGTGCACCACCACTTCTGGTACCATGTTTATGTAATTTGATATAACTATTTCAGTCTCACATGTTTAGGTTTTCTATAAGCCCCCACCCCCCCCCACACACACTTTGATTTTAAGTTTGAGGGTTAGAATAATCTATTTTAAAGCTTTGCTATTTCTTTTACCAAACACATAAAAATACACAGACAAGAGCAAGGGAATCTACCTTTACTTGTTATTTGCTGTGTTTTCTCTTCTATGTCTAAACTCATTTTGTAGGTGCTAAACTTTAATTATGATTAAATAAATGATTTAGTTATGATTATTCCTTTCTATCAACTTTCTACTTTCATGTGGCCCAACGCTCTCTGGATTAAAGTGCACTTATTTTTCTTATCAAAACAGAGTAGAACTATAGCAAAATTACATTAATTTCTTTTACTTTCTGCAACAGCCCAATTGGATGACCAATACTTACCATCAAACTGATAGTGCATGGTTTGATGAATACGTTCTGTCACACTGGCCAGCCAGTCTTGGAAGGATAGGGTCACTTGTGCCTCATCTAACAGCTGGCCACATGCTAGAAAAAGAAAACAAAAAAAACAAAAAAACCTTCTTCTCAATGTTATTTCTTTCAGAATAAATAAAGTTTGAAAAAGTAATATAGAGTTTGTACAGAAAAAAGTACATGAAGCTGGAATTCAAAGAAAGTAGTTGGGAGTAAGTGAAACAGATTCTGGGACATTGTTTTTTCTTTTGTTTAAAAAATTTTTTTTGGTAGTTGTAAATGAACAGCATGCCTTTATTTTATTTGTTTATTTTTATGTGGTACTAAGGATCGAACCCAGTGCCTCACATGTGCTAGATGGGAGCTCTGTCACTGAGCTGTAGCCCCAGCCCTAGGTTTTGCTTCTTAATTAACATAATAACTATACATATGTATGGGGGACAGTGTGATAATTCAATAGACCAATTGTTTTTAAAGAAATCATTGAGAAAAATAAATGAAAGTTCTTAAAGACTAGTACTTGGGAAATTGAGGCAGGAGAATTGCAAGTTTGAGGTCAACCTCAGTAATTTGGTAAGACCCTAAGAAACTTAGTAGAGGCTGTCTCAAAAAATAAAAAGAACTGGGGCCAGGCGCAGTGGTGTATGCCGATAATCCCAGCGACTCAGGAGGCTGGGGCAGGAGGATCAAGGTTTCAAAGCCAGCCTCAGCAACAGAAAGGTGCGAAGCAAACTCGGTGAGACCCTGTCTCTAAATAAAATACAAAACAGAGGGCTTGGGTTGTGGCTCAGATGTAGATCACTTGCCAAGCATGTGTGAGGCACTGGGTTCGATCCTTAGCACCACGTAAAAATAAAATAAAGGTATTGTGTCTACCCACAACTAAAAAAATAAATGTTAAAAAAGAGAAAAAACTCTCATTTAAAAAAATAAAATAAAATACAAAATAGGGCTGGGGATGTGGCTCCATGGTTGAGTACCCGAGTTCAATCCCTGGTACCACTCCCCCCCCAAAAAAAAGAACTGGGGAAGTAGCTCAATGGTAAAGCACCCTGGGTTCAATTTCCAGTACCAAAATAAATAAATAAATAAACAAACACTGCCATAACTACTATTCACTTAAACTAAAATTATATGTAAATACATACAATGATAATTTGAATGGAGGCCATTGTCCTTTTCTTTTTTAGTACAAGGGACTGAATCCTTAGGTACTTAACCACTGAGCCACAACTCCAGCCCTTTCTATTTTTTATTAAAGCCTCATTAAGTTCCTGGGGCTGGCCTTGAACTTTCAATTCTTCTGCCTCCCTATAATTGCTGCATTCCTATAATTGCTGGGGAATTATAGGAATGCGTCACAACACTCAGCATCTTTTTTCTTTGCACTGAAAGAAGTGATGAAAAATTCAAAATCTTCTATTTCATATTGTCCATGTTTACTTCCTGACTATCCAAAACCATAAATAGAAGGTGCAAGTTCTCGATAAAACAGTTATAAATATTCAATATTATAATACCATATAGCATGTATTGGTCTTGTTCTAAATTCAGGGTATAAGAGTAAGGCTGATGTCCTGATTTTAATCTGTCAGTCATAGTATATGGCCAGCCACATCACAACAAGTATTCAATAAATACTGCCAAAATTGAACTAAATTATTTCTATATAATTTATATGAACAGTTGATTCCAAAATTTTCAAGCTTAGTTAATTCTGAGTAGAGAAGAGATACATTTAAATTCATAAATTATGTTCAAAATTAAGTCATTCTACTGGCTGTAGTGCCACAAGCCTGTAATCCCAGCAGCTGAGATCAAAGGATCTCAAGTTTAAAGCCACCCTTAGAAATTCAGTGAGACTCTAAGCAACTTGAGACCCTGTCTCAAAATGAAAAACAATAGGGGGGCTGAGGATTTGGCTCAATGGTTAAACGCCCTGGGTTCAATCTCTGGAAAAAAAAAAAAATTAAGTCATTCTGTCTCATTAATTCAGAGCAACAGTCATGCCACTGCTCTTAGATATGTTTTCAAGCTTCACTGACTTTGGAAACAGTCTATATTTTATCTTTCTCAACAAATACTTTTCACTGCATAATTATAAAATATATTATTTTTTCCTTCTACTTTGAATCTCATACCAACTACATTATAGGTAAGAAGTAATAAAAGGAACACACACATTTTAAAAAACACCTGCTACCAAAACATGTTAGTAATTTTTGTTTTTATAGTGCTGGCATTTGAACCCAGGGCTTCACAAATGCTAAGTAAGTGTCCTACCACTGAGCTACACCCACAGTCCCATGTCAGTAATTTTTAATTTAAAAATATAATTTAGGGGCTAGAAGTATAGTTCAATCATAGCATGTGTAAAGCCCCAGGTTCATTCCTCAGCACTGTAAAAAAAAAAAAAGACATAATTTGGTTTTTTGTTTATTTGTTTTTAGAAATGTCTAAGGCCATTGTGTGTGTGTATGTGGGGGAGGTAACAGGGAATGAACCCAGTGGCATTCCACACTGAGTTAGATCCCCAGCCTTTTTTGTTTTTTTTTTTTTTTTTTTTTTTAATATTTTTTAGTTGTCAGTGGATCTTTATTTTATTTATTTGTATGCGGTGCTGAGAATTGAACCCAGGGCTTCAAATATGTTAGGCAAGTGCTCTACACTAAGGACAACCCCAGCCCCATTTTCATTTTTGAGATAGTATGTTACTAAGTTGCAGAGGCTGGCCTCAAATTTATGACCCTCTTGCCTTAGCTTCCAAAGCAGCTGGCAAGTAGCTGGCTGTGTGTGCATAGAGTTCCATGCAATATTTTCATGCACCACCATGCCCAGCTTTTTTTTTTTTTTTTTTTTTGTACTGGGGATTAAATCCAGGGACACACTACTACTGAGTTATATCCCTATCTCTTTTTGTTCTTTTATTTTGAAACAGGTCTCGCTTAGTTGCTTAGGGATTTGCTAAATTGCAAAGTCTGGCCTTGAACATCTTGTGATCCTCCTGTCTTAGCCTGCTGAGAGGCTGAGATTACAGGCGTGCACCACTGTGCCTGGCTCCATGCCCAGCTTTAAGGCTTTTCTTTTTTTTTTCCTAATATTTATTTTTTAGTTGTAGCTGGACACAATATCTTTATTTATTTATTTATATGTCGTGCTGAGGATCAAACCCAGGGCCTAATGCTGAGCCATAATCCCAGCCCCCAGCTTTAAGGCTTTTCAAATGTTGTTTAAAAACATTTTTGAGTCGGGTGCAGTGGCACACACCTGTAATCCCAGTGGCTCGGAAGGTTGAGACAAGAGGATCGTGAATTCAAAGCCAGACTCAGCAATGTTGAGGCGCTTAGCAACTCATTGAGACCCTGTCTCTAAATAAAATACAAAATAGGGCTGGGGATGTGGCTCAGTGGTTGAGTGCCTCTGTGTGGCTTGGGAGGCTGAGGCAGGAGGATCGAAAGTTCAAAGCCAGCCTCAGCAAAGGCGAGATGCTACACAACTCAGCGAGACCCTGTCTCTTAATAAAATACAAAACAGGGCTGGGGATGTGGCTCAGTGGTTGAGTGCCACTGATTAAATCCCTGGTACCCCCCAAACAAAACAAAACCAAAAACATTTTTGAGATAATTATATATGCAATTATAAGAAACTTAAAGTTTATATACCCTACACCCAGATTTCCCCAATAATATTTTGTAAAATTATAGTACAATATCACAATCAGGTCAACGACATGGAGGCAATCCAGTGAGCTTATTCATATTTCACCCGTTTTACATGGACTTGTGTGGTGTGTGTGTATAGTTCCATGCAATATTATCATGTGTAGATTTGTGTGACTGCCGCTACAGACAATACATAAAACAATTCTGTTCCAAGACTCCTTTCTATTTACCACACCTGGCAGCATCTATTAATCTATTTTTGGTCTCTATGATTTTAGTTGTAATTTATTTTTGAGCATGATTTGAAATTGTTGGAAAAGGAAAGACCCAAGCTCAGATAAATTCATGTACAAGTGTTTATAACATCAGCACTTTTTGGGAGAGACAACATGCAGAATGTCTTGATTACACTGCTTCTGACTTTAGGGTGACTTATCACCACTGCAGCCTATTCTAGGGAAGGGAAACTTACCCTGCCTTTTTAATGAAGAAGCAACCACGGGTTTTTTCAGGCCACTCTTCCTTAGATTACTGCTCACTGCATCTGGAGGCATTAGTGAATTGTTCATCTGTGCACCTGAATCACAAATTATTTACAGTATTTAAACGTATCTGCAGAATATATATTGACTAGATATTAATTTCTAAGGATTCTAAAACATATAATCAATCTGTCTTTGCTAATTTCTAGGCTACCTTCACAGGTTTGTTTGTTTTTTTAATTTATATATGACAGCGGAATACACTACAATTTATATTACACATATAGAACACAATTTTTCATATCTCTGGTTGTATACAAAGTATAGTCACACCAATTAGTGTCTTCATCCATGTACTTTGGATAATGATGACCATCATATTCCACCATCATTTTTAACCCCATGCCCTCCCTTCCCTTTCCACCCCTCTGCGCTATCTAGAGTTTGTCTATTCCTTCCATGCTTTCCCTCCCTACCCCACCACGAATCAGCCTCCTTATAACAGAGAAAACATTCGGCATTTGGTTTGTTGGGATTGGCTAACTTCACTTAGCATTATCTCCTCCAATGCCATCCATTTACCTGCAAATGCCATGATTTTATTCTCAATCCTTAGCAGGAAGAGTGAAGCAGGTGACATCACTATACCAGACCTTAAACTATACTACAGAGCAATAGCAACAAAAACAGCATGGTATTGGCACCAAAACAGACTGGTAAACCAATGGTCAGAATAGAGGACACAGAGACGAACCCACAAAATTACAATTATATTATATCAGACAAAGGTGCCAAAAACATGCATTGGAGAAAAGATAGCCTCTTTAACAAATGGTGCTGGGAAAACTGGAAATCCTTATGCAACAAAATGAAATTAAACTCCTATCTCTCACCATGCACAAAACTCAACTCAAAATGGATCAAGGACCTGGGAATAAAATCAGAGACCCTGCATCTAATAGAAGAAAAAGTAGGTCCTAATCTCTATCATGTGGGATTAGGCCCCAATTTCCTTAATAAGGCTCCTATGGCACAAGAATTAAAATCAAGAATCAAATGAAATGGATTCAAACTAAAAAGCTTCTTCTCAGCAAAAGAAACAATCAATGAGGTGAATAGAGAGCCTACAGAATGGGAGCAAATATTTACCACAAGCCATCAGATACAGCACTAATCTCTTGGATATATAAAGAACTCAAAAACTTAACACCAAAAAAGAAATAACCCAATCAATAAATGGACCAAGGACCTGAATAGACACTTCTCAGAAGATGATATATAATCAATCAACAAATATATGAAGAAATGTTCATCATCGCTAGCAATTAGAGAAATGCAAGTCAAAACTACTCTAAGATTTCACCTCACTTCAGTCAGAATATCAGGTATTATGAATACAAACAACAATAAGTGTTGGCGAGGATGTGGGGAAAAAGGTACATTCACACACTGCTGGTGGGACTGCAAATTGGTGCAGCCATATGGAAAGCAGTATGGAGATTCCTTGGAAAATTGGGAATGAACTACCATTTGACCTAGCTATCCCTCTCCTCGGTCTATACCCAAAGGACTTAAAAACAGCATACACAGCCACGTCAGTGTTTATAGCAGCACAATTCACAATAGCTAAATTGTGGAACCAACCTAGATGAATGGATTTAAAAAAATGTGGCATTTATACACAGTAGAATATTAGTTAGCTTCACAGTTTTTAAAAGGAATTAGTACTAATTTTTTTTTTTTTTTCTTCTGGTGCTGGGGATTAAACCCAGGGCCTCATGCTAGGTAAATGTCTTACCACTGAGCTACATCCCCAGCTCCTAGCATTAACCATTTACACATACAATTTAAACTTTTTATGCTCTTTATAGGAAATTGGAGGGTAGAGGATAGAAGTAAAAGGAAAAAAAAGAAGTCACCCACTGTTCTCACCTCTCAGATAATTATAACTAACTTTGCAGGGACCTATATTCTATTTTCTTCTGTCACTAGTTTGTTTTGCTAGTTTTGTGATTTTTTTTTTTTTAAATAGGTCTTTTTCTTTTTTTTTTTTTTTCTAGTTCTCGGCGGACACAACATCTTTGTTGGTATGTGGTGCTGAGGATCGAACCCGGGGCCGCACGCATGCCAGGCGAGCGCGCTACCGCTTAAGCCACATCCCCAGCCCCAGTTTTGTGATTTTTAAGTAACTACAATTGCATCAGGATTGCCAGAATAGTAAAAAATTTTCTTTTGAATTTCTGAATAAGCAATAAATAATTTTTTAAATATGTTCCAAATGTTACATGGGAGGTATTTATACTAACAATTGTTATTTATCTTAAACTCAAGTTTGAGCACTCTGTACTTTATCTGAGCATATGAATGACCTAAACACTTCCTCAATTCTGGTTTTTGTTTTGTTTTGCAGGATTGGGTATTGAACCCATGCGTTTTTGGTAACCACTGAACTACATCTCTAGCCCTTTTTAATTTTAATTTAATTTTTTTGTGGGGGTGAGCACCAGGGATAGAACTCAGAAGCACTTGACCACTGACTCACATCCCCAGCCCTATTTTGTATTTCATTTAGAGACAGGGTCCTCACTGAGTTGCTTAGCCCCTTGCTTTTGATGAAGTTGGCTTTGAACTCGAGATCCTCCTGCCTCAGCCTCCTGATCCTCTGGGATTACAGCTGTGCACACCATGCTCTGCCTTTTTATTTTTCATTTTTAGACAGAATCTCAGTAAACTGCTGAGGCTGGCCTTGAATTTAGGATCGTTCTGCCTCAGGCTGCTGAGTTCATTGGGATTACGGGCATGTGCCATGACACCTAACCATTTTAAATTCTTAACAAATACTGCAAGCTATTTTTAAAAATGATTTAAACAACTTATACCACATTAGCCATGCCCAAGACCCCAGAATTTTGTTTTTTGGAGGTGAGGGTATTGGGGATTGAACTTCAGGGCATATGACCACTGAGCCCCAGCCCCAGACCTTTTTTTGTATTTTGAAACAAGGTCTCACTGAGTTGCTTAGCACCTTGCTTTTTGCTGAGGCTGGCTTTGAACTCCACTCCTCCTGCCTCAGTCTCCCCAGCTGCTGGGATTATAGGTGTGTGCCACCACACCCATCTAAGACCCCAGATTTCACCTTTACCTGGGGTCTCATCATTTTAAAAAATCTTTGCTAATTTGGTTGCAAAAGTTATTTAGTTTCACTTTTGAATTTCTAAAAGGCTTGCATGAGTCTATTTACTAGTGAGTTTGCAATTTGTTACACATGCATGCAGTGGATATTTTCTTTCCGTTTAGATTTCTTTTTTTGTGTGTGTGGGGCTGGGGATTGAACCCAGGGCCTTGTGCATGCAAGGCAAGCACTCTACCAACTAAACTATATGCCAAGCCCTTGTTTAGATTTCTTGAAATTTATTTACTAGGGTATTTCAACATTTTTACAGATTTATATGAGTCATTAACTGACATTAAATATTTGAATTAATATGTGTATATATGTGCATAGATGGTTCCTGATTTATGATGGTTTCACTTAGGCATTTTTGACTTTACTATGATATGAAAACCATCCATGTTCAGTAAAAACCCTAATTTGAATTTTCATCTTTTCCTGGGTTAACAATATGTGGTATAATTCTCTGTGAGTGGCAGTGAGGTACAGATCCCAGTTAGTCACAAGATCCCTAGGGGAAACAATGGATACTCCACAGTATACTATGTCACTAAGCTATGATGTTTGATAGATTAGTATATTAGATACATTTTCCTTTAAGATATTTTTAATTTATGATGAGTTTATCAGAATGTAACCTTCATAAGTCAAGGAACATTGTGTATGTGTATGTGTATTTGTATGTTATGTATCTCCACTTGCTGAAAATATAAGCAAACTGTATTCCTAAATTAGAGTGAGAAATATAATTGTTATATTGTTACAAGTTTTTGATTCTGGAGATTGAATCCAGGGCCTTGTGTATGCTAAACACATGCTCTTCAACTGAACTATACCTTCAGCCCAACAGTTTTTTAAAGTCCTCTGTGAAGGAAAACTTCAAAATGTTGTCCTAAGGCATATTAAAGTATAATAAGATTAGTCTGACTTTAGGGCTGGGATTGTGTCTCAGTAGTAGAGTGCTCGCCTAGCAGGGATTAGGCACTGGGTTTGATCCTCAGTGCCACATAAAAATAAAACAAAGATATCGTGTCCACCTAAAACTAAAAAATAAATATTAAAAAAAAAAGATTAGTCTGACTTTAAATTTGGTTGGATCTTACTTTTGGTCAGTAGAAGCAACTTTCAGCTTGACTTGATAAAGAATTATCAATGGAGGGCTGACGTTTAGCTCAGTAGTAGAGTGGTTGCCTAGCATGTGTAAGGCACTGGGTTCGATCCTCAGCATCATATAAAAATTAAATAAATAGGGCTGGGGTTATAGCTCAGTGGTACAGTGCTTGCCTATCACATGTGAGGCACTGGGTTTGATTCTCAGTACCCACATATAAATAAATAAAATAAAGGTCCATTGACAACTAATTTTTTTTAAAAAATTAAATAAACAAACAGAATAAAGGTACTGTGTCCATCTTTAAAAAAAGGAATTATCAATGGGTAATAAAAAAGTCATAAAAAGGTCTGGGGCTGTAGCTCAGTGGTAAAATGTTTGTCTAGCATATGTAAGGCCTTGGGTTCAATCCCTAGCACCAAACACACACACACACACACACACATACACACACACTCCATAAGAACAAAAATGACTTCTCATAATTTCTAAGATTCAAGGAAAGATACAAAACAGTAAAACGATGGGCTGAGGATGTAGCTTAGTGGTAGAGCACTTCCTTAGCATGTTCAGGGACATGGTCTCAATCCCCAGCACTACATATACATGCCCATACTCACACCTACACACAACTACCTCTAAAACAATACCCAGAGACTCTACCACCAAAAGAAACAAAATAGTTCCTCACCAGATACTTCATCCTTTTTCCTCTTCTTTGGCTTGGAGGCAGTAGACTCACAAGCTGATACAGATGATTCTGAATGGCAACCTATTTGGGGCACAATAATCTCTTTTAGACCTAAAAAATAAGATTTCTGAGTTACTAATACTATCCAAGAGTAAGTATGGACCCCCATTTAGAGAAAAACTAATTTATAAAAATCTAAATCCCCAACACAAAAGATGGAATGATTGCCGCTTTAAAATAAGTTCCTTGAGCCCGGCCTGATGGTGCATACCTTTAATTCCAGTTCCTTGGGATGCTGAGGCAGGAGGATCACAAGTTGGAAACCAGCCTCAGCAACTTAGTGATACCCTGCCTTAAAAAAATAAAAAGGGGGCTGGGGTTGTAGCTCAGTGGTAGAGTGCTTGCCTAGGACATGTGAGGCCCTGGGTTCAATCCTCAGCACCACATATAATAAATAAACAAAATAAAGGCATTATGTCCATGTTCAACTAAAAATAAATTAAATAAATAAAAAGGGCTGGGGTTATAACTTGGTCGTAAAGCACCCTGGGTTCAATCCACAGTACCACATAAAAATAATGATAAAAATAAGTTCCTTGAAAAAATTTCCCAAAACATACGCATTTATTCATAGATCATTAACTTGATAGAAGACTCTACAGAGTAATATAAAACTAAAAGTTGGGAGCTGCTACCTGCTAATGATCATGAAGAAAATCATGAAGAAATTAAAAGTGTACAGCTGGGCATAGTGGCACATGCCTGTAATTTTAGCAACTTGAGAGGCTGAGGCAGGATTTTAAGTTGGAGGTCATCCTCAGCAACTTAGATCCTATCTAAAAATAAAAATTAAAAAAAGGGCTGGTAATGTAGTTCCATGGTACAGGGCCCTTGGGATTGATCCCCAGTATCAGTACTGCCAAAAAAAAAAAAAAAAAAAAAAAATATATATATATATATATATATATATATATATGTAAATGAAAACAAGAGACTTGATGAAGATGCTTCTAAAGGTCTTTTGATTAAGGTGCTAGTTTTCCCTTATCTTCAGGTAGGAAACAAGAGTGAAAGGGATTTGTTCTTTTTTGCTGTTGTTGTTAACATAAAACAACTGTGAAGTAAAACAAAGTAAAGCTAAGGTTGCTAGATTTATTGCCTCAATAAAAATGCCCAACTCTCTTCATCAAATTTATCCATCCAACAAATCAACCAAGCAATCAACCTTTATGCTGACTGTGATTAAAAGAAGGAATGCTTTTCATTTGAATTATCCAGCAACTGTTTCTGAAGGTTGCCAGGACAATCTCCAAATCTATCAGTGAAACTCTTTCATTGCTATTTTAGAAAAACAGAACTACGCATCAATCATACCACCTACCGCTGGAATCAAAATTTAGGAAGTCTGAGAATTCCTGAGCCAATGTCTCATCACTAGCAAAGGCACAGATGCAAGCAAAGAAATGAATGCATCTCTGGGCTGCCTCTTCCTTAGAAGAGCTTGACTTGTGCGATTTCAGAGTCTGACAGGAGCAGAAGAAGCGGCGCTCAGGCAAGCTTTTGGCACTGATTTTCTGCACAAAAGATGTATGCAAATATCCCAAACTATGCTTCTGGCTTGCCTTGCATTTCACCACCAAGATGTTTTTAGTAATCCTCTGTACCAGGGGACCCGTGGGTTCTGTGGCCAACTGCCAAATGGTCTGTTTGGTTTCTGGGGAGGCCTGCATGGCATTCAAGACTGAACTCTTCAGGGTCAGAGGGGTAGCTTCTGCCTGGCAATTCACTGCCAGTTTGATGTGTTGGCATTGGTTTTCCACAACGCCTTGGGTAGCAGCTTTCAGGCAGGATGGGACGTAACACCGTCCAGAGCTCAGCTGAGTGATGATAGTTCCATCTACTGTCTGGATTGTCGTCTCTGAAACACCAAGCTCCACAAAGCATCGGTAATCAGGACCCCGGTCTCTTTGCCGTACAGAGTAGACCTGCAGATCAGAGCCTGTGATGATTTTGACAGCTTCAACACTAGGCTGCTTCCGTGCACCATAGCGAAATATGGTTCCACATGTCTTGTTCTTACAGCTCAGGCCCCGGGTTCCATTGTATGTGCCGCAGCGGGGACACTTTCTGATTCCCCTCAATGTGGCCTTCCCCAAGTCAGACAAAAAAGCTGGGACTTTAGTCCTCAGAGAGTTTGGTTCCATTTTTCACAGGCCCTAGGAAGACAAGCCCATTAGGATGAGTACACAATCACACACACACACACACACACACACACACACAGCTGAAGTCACTTGTAATATTTAGCATAGTGTGTGTAAACTATCCAATATTTTGAAATCATATCACAAAACAACATAAATCTAAATCATCAAATGAAATAAAAAGTGGATAAAACTGGGGCTGGGGTTGTGGCTCAGTGGTAGAACACTTGTCTAGCACATGTGAGATACTGGATTCGATCCTCAGCATCACACACAAAAAAAAAAGGTATTGTGTTCAGCTACAACTAAAAAATATACTTAAAATAAATTGGATAAAACTTTTCTTTCTACTTCTCTATACATTTAAAAAATTCTACTGTAGCAACCAAAGCATTTTTTCCACGATCTCTTCTGTAAGCATTTGAAGTAATTTCACCAAATTTGTTTTATCTGGGTTTTGGTTTTGTTTTTTGGTGCTAGGGGCATTCTACCACTGAGATACAACCCCAACCCTTTAAAATTTTTTTTTAGTAAATTGTGAGGCAGAGTCTTGCTAAACTGCCCAGTCTGGCCTTGAACTTAGGATCCTCCTGCCTCAGCCTCCCAAATCACCGTGATTACAGGTGAGCACAACTACATCTAGCTATTTAATCAAATCTTTAATGCATAGATGTTTAACTTAAGCAAGGACTAGAGAACAGGAAAGACAAATTCTTTCCCTTTCTCCATTCCCCATAAAACCCAGTCCAGTCCTACCTGTACTAGCTGCCAGGGCATCTGAAAAACAGTGTAACCTGAATTTATAAGACTTAAAGTATGTTTCGTTAGTTTGTGATCATCAGAGAGGACAGGTAAAGGCATGATCATTTGCAGAGTAAATGATACTGTTTAACACAAAGTCTTCTCAATTTTGAATTCTATGGTGTAACAATGCAGACATTCTGCCTCCTCCTTCTTGACCAGCCAATCGCAAAGCTCCTGCCCAATGTTCCACAGTCAAAGATTCCCACTTCCCTAAGTGGAGATTTTGGTGGTCTACAAGTAAAACAAGAAAAAAATATTAATATCATACAAAGATGAGATGGTTCAGACAGAATACAGGCTGGGAGTACAGTTCAGTAGTAGAGCACAAACTTAGCATGGGTGAGAGCCTGGGTTCAATCCTCAGTGCACACACACACACACACACAAAAAAAAAAAAAAAAAAAAGATAACAAAAGAAATAAAAATCACAGAAGCTAAGTCTTTCACAATTATTTGAGAAATAGTTGACAAATTGTTATGGAAATGGTTAAATGTTTTATACTTCTAACTTCAAGAAAGTGAAACAATGTTAACTTTACTCCACCTCCAGTTGACAAGAACACCTAGAGCCATGATATAGAATTGGCCAAATGTTCATCTTTCCTAAAAGTAATATATTACATTCCTAAGAGTGCTTTATGGCTAGGCTTCCTGTTGCCATGTCCTGAGCTGCTTTCCTCCACCATAATCTTCTACTATGATGTTCTGCCTCATCTCTGGCCCCAAGGAATGGAGTCAGCCATCCATGGACTAAGACCTCTAAAACCTAGATCATCATCATTGTAAAGAGGCAAGCTTGTCACCACACCCATCCAGTGCATAATTAAACTGTGGATTCTCTGCAAACACAGCTGCAATTGGCTTTTGTCTTCTGCAAAAGATTCACACAGTGAAAAGGTGTTTGATGGTGGAAGTCTCTAATCTCACTTATCAATGTTGTATTTTCAAGTCCACAGAGGTGCTAAAGGAAACAAAAAGAGCCTGTCTTTAGAGGAGATGGTAAAACTGAAGATGGAAAAAGAGCTGGAGTATAACTTTCGTAATTAATGCCAAGGAGAACAACCAGATCCTTCATGAAATATTTGTTGGTATTAAATTCAGATAAGACTAGAAAATTTGAAATCAGATATAAATGTCAACTATTATGATTTTATAAGTCAGCAAAACTATGAAACAGAAAAACATTTATTTAATGAACATTGATTGACCAGGTACTGTTAAAAAAAAGAGTGCTTTACATTTTCTAGATTGCTTTCACATTCATTATTTCATTTGCATTTCACAATATAAGATATCTCATTTAAGCCAAACAATTGCTCTATAGATGAAAATAAAGAAATTATGTAATTCCTTCCTTTCCAGCCAGCAATATTGGCAATGCTGTTTCTGCAAACACACAAAAGTACCAAGTTTCTACCTGTGATTTTCCCCCTCAATATTATGAAAAATTTCAAGGATATAAAATTATACAGTGAGTTCCTCATGTGCCCACCCATTGGGTTTTACAATTAACATTTTATTATATTTGCTTTATTATGTCTAGTTATCCTTCCTCTGTCAGTTCCTCTCATATTTTGATGTATTTCAAATTAAAAGCCCCACATGGTGACATACACCTGTAATCCCAGCAGTTTGGGAGGCTGAGGAAGAAGGATCCTGAGTTCAAAGCCAGCCTCAAAAACTTAGTGAAGCCCTAAGCAACTCAGCAAGACTGTGTCTCTAATTAAATATAAAAAAGGGCTGGGGATGTGGCTCGGTGGTAAAGTGCCCCTGGTTCAATCTCTGGTACACACACACATACACACACACACACACACACACACACACACACAAATTCCAACAACAAAAAACAAAAACAAAACAAATAACAAGTTTGGCATGGATATCATTATCTAAATATTTATTTATACAGTACTGGGTTTAACTCAAGGGCACTCTTACTACTGAGCTACATCCCCAACTGTTTTTACTTTTTTATTTTGAAACAGGGTCTCAATAAATTGCTGAGGCTAGCCTCAAACTTGCTATCATCCATCTTCAGTCCCCCTAATCACAGGGATCACAGGCATGCACTACCACACCTGGCTAACATTCAATGTTTTAAATATTGAATTTTAATGCTTTTTAAAAAAGTAATCTGATTTTTAAATTGGCAGTTAGCATTGTTTTCCCCCCAATTTCAAAGGACGATTTACTTTTTTTTTTTTTTTTTGTAGCATTGATTGAACCACTTAGCAACATCTGTAGACCTTTTTATTTTGAAATGATCTCGATAAGTTGCCAAGGCTGGCTTTGAACTTGCAATCCTCTTGCCTCAGCCTCCTGACTCACTGGGATTACAGTCGTGTACTTCCATTCCCAGCTTTTGCTGTTTGCTTTATGCCCTGTAGAAGGCAACTTGCTGGTATCTTTCAAAATTACAACTGAATATTTGTTCTTTGGGAACCCAGGACTTGGCACATGTCAGATAAGTGCTCTATCACTGAGTTACAGCCCCAGCCCTGCATATTTCTTAAAAACAACAATCAACAATAACAACAAAAGACTTTCATGGGCTGAGGATGTAGTTCAAAGGCAGACTGTTTGCCTAACATGTCTAAGACCCTGAGTTCAATCCCCAGCACTGAAAAAAAATAAATAAAAAAGTTCAACTTTGGAACTTATTTTGTAGAAAAGCTACAAAGACAGTACAAAGAATTCCTGTATATGCTTCACCTAGTTTCCCCCAAAGATTAATATCTTACATAACTATGAGACATCTGTCACAATAAGGTTTAACATTGGTGCGATACGACTCACTCTACTACAGACTTCATTTGGATTTCACCAATTTTTCTAATGCCTTCTTTTTAAAAGAATAAACTGTCTACTTCAGAATAATTATAGATTTTCAGAAAAGCTGCAGATAGAATAGAGTTTGCAGATACCCCTAACTCATTTTCTTCTAACATTAACCAATAGTGATGTACTACATATTACCACAGGACATTTGTCAAAACTAAGAAACCAGCAGAGGCACCTTATTAACTGAACTCCAGTCATAGTCTTCTTTCTCTCCAGGAGCCAATCCAAAATATCACATTACATTTAGCTATCATATCTCCTTAGTCTTCACAGGCCTGTGAGTTACTATGTTTCCTTGGTCTTAATAATCCTAACATATTTTGAAGAGTCAGGAATTTTATAGAATGTTCCTCAATTTGAGGTTGTTGATATTTCCTTTGCATACTCCTTTAGTATAATTCCACTAATAAGAATTTATCTTACAGGTTCCCACATGTGTAAAGTGAGGGAAATATAAAGCTACTCACAAGCACTTTTGTTAACAGTAGAGCTCACAAATAACCTAATGTTCTTCATAGATGAAACTGGATAAATTAATTATGTCATACATACATATACACATATGTAAAATGGAATACTTTCCCAAAAGTAAGGTTTCCTTATAGCTTTAAAAAAACAAAAGCCAGGCACAATGGCACACACCTGTTCCCAGTGATTCAGGAGGCTGAGGCAGGAGGATCACATGATCAAGGCTAGCCTCTGCAATTTAGTGAGACCCTCAGCAACTTAACAAGACTGTCTCAAAAACAAAAATATAAACAAATAACAACAACAACAACAAAAAACCCCCAAGGGATATAACTCAGTGATAAAGCACCCTTTTGTCCAATCTCCAGGTTACAAAAAACCCCCCCAAAAAACAAAAAAAACAAAAACCTGGGAATGTAGCTTAGTGGTACCAATCCCCAGCAACACACACACACACACACACACACACACACACACACAGTACATATTTGTGGATACCATGTAATGTCTCAATATATATAAACATTGTATAATGTTCAAATCAGAATAAACATATCTATCTCTTCTATAAATATATAAACATTCTAAGATACTGCCAAACTGTTGATAACAAGTGGCTGTACCATTTTACATTTTCTCCAACAACCCAAAAGGATTCCCACTTTTCTACCCCTGGCCAGTGCTTGTTATGGTCTTCTTCATTATGGCCATTTGATTAGTGGACCTAAAATGGTATCTCACCATGGTTTTATTTACAAATCTCTAGTGAATAATGATGTTGCGCCACATTTCTCATGCTTAGGTAATCATATGGAATATTTATGCTGTATCAAAGAAGCCAGACACTAAAGACCACACGTTATGTGATTCCACTTAAATAAAATATCCAGAGGGCTGGGGTTGTGGCTCAGAGGCAGAGCGCTTGCCTAGCATGTGTGAGGCACTGGGTTCGATTCTCAGCACCATGTATCAATCAATAAATAAAGGTCCACTGACAAAAAAAAAATATCCAGAATAGCAAAGTATATAGAGACGAAAGCAATTAGTAAACTGGACACAGTGGTGCATGCCAATAATCCCAGACTTGGGAGGCTGAGGCAGGAGGATCCTGAACTTGAGGCCAGCCTCAACAATTTAGTGAGACCCTCAGCAACTTAGTGAGACCCTGACTCAAAATAAAAAGGGCTGGAAATGTCACTCAGTAATTAGTGCCCCAGAATTCAATCCCTAGTGCCAAAACATAAATTTAAAATTAAAAGAAAGAATATTAGTGGTTGCCACAGCTGGAAGAAAGGGGAAATTGGCAGTTAACTGCTAATGGGTATGAGGTTTCTTTCTGGAGTGATGAAATATAGTGTGGATATACTAAAACCTTTAAATTGTAACACCTTTTAAAAGGCTAAATTTTGTTATATGAATATTTTAATGAAGCTGTTATTATTTTTAAAAAGACAAAAATATTTGGAATTCAAATGCCAAAGGTCTAATTTCCTGAGTTTTTAAAAACCAGTAAGAAAGGACTGGGGTTGTGACTCAGTGGTAGAGTGCTTGCTTAGCATAAACAAGGCACTGGGTTCGATCCTCAGCACCACATAAAAATAAAATAAAGATATTGTGTCCACCTAAAGCTAAAAAATAAATATAAAAAAACCATTATGTCCACCTAAAACTAGGAAATAAACATTAAAAAAATATTAAAATTCTCTCTTTCTCTCTTAAAAAAATCCTTTAGAAAAAAGGAGAAAAGACATTAAAAGAAGGTTGAGAAAAAGAAAAATTAAAAGTGATTTTAAATATGTGAAGACACTCAACCTTGTAGTAAGGAAGAGGCAAATTTAAAACAAGGTAACAGGGCTAAGTACAGCTCTGTGGGAAAGTACTTGTTCCACATGTTCAAAGCTCTAGGTTCAATCCCCAGCACCACAAAGTGAAAAACAAAAAAGATAACAACAGCAAAAAACCCACACAAACACAAAAAAGCCAAGATAACACTTTGGCAAAGTGGAAAAAAAATAAGAAAATTATCACTGTATTCATGAGAATGGGGAGAAACATTCTATACTGTTATTGTAAAACTCTTGGAAGAGATGTAAATACAATAAATGTCATATACATACTTTGCCTTAACAATTCCACTTATGATACTGCATGTATTCTCACATGTGCAAAAAGTATATAAAGGATACTCACTGCAGAATTGTCCATAAATACAGAACTATAGAAACAGTCTAAGAGCTCATCAGTAGAGAACTAACATAAGAAAATTTTAGTGTAATCACACAATATGCTATTAAAAAGAATCAGACAACAGCCAGGTTTGGTGCAGACCTATATCTCAAGCTACTCAAGAGGCTGAGGCAGGAGGCCTGTTCCAGGACAGTTCTGCAACTTGGTGAGACCCTGTCTCAAAATAAAAAATAAAAAGGGCTGGAAATCTAGCTCAGTGATAAAGCACCTCTGGGGTCAGTCCCAAGTACAGAAGGGAAAAAAAACATATCCGGGGATATAACTTAAAAGTAGAACACTTCTGATCTGGATCCCCATACTGCAAAACAAAATAAAACAAGAACTGAACAGATGTATGTGTACTGTGGTTCAAATATCAACGTATATTGTGAAATGAAAAAAAAATTGTAGTACTTTGCTTATAACATGCTATTCTTGGTTTTAAAGGGGACAGAGAATAGGGGTGTATACATGTGTATGAACGTTTACTGCCACAGAAGTGATTTGTGACTAGGGAAACAGTGGGTCTGGAAAGAAGACTTACCTTTCACTGTTTTGTACTATTTTAATTTTAATGTGTGCTAGTACCACTTATTACAGATTCTGTATTGAAAGCATATACAAACACTTAACTTGTAAAGACCCTGTATTTGAAAGATGGAAGGTCTCTAGGTAGTCTCTTTTTGGAAAATTTACAAAACAGTCTCCTTAGCAAGAGAATGTAAAGGGGCTGGTGATGGAAGAGTTAAGCCCTGACCGCTCCCTGAAGTGGTGGGTTTTCATCCTGGTTCTATCTGGCTGTGCAACTATATAGTTTGCAGAATGCTTTTTAACGCTTGCGAAACGGTTAGAAGTGAATGAATGACGATCATGAATGTAAATACACACACCGATTACACACACACACAACTACACGAGTACCCTCCGTGTGGATAAGCCCTTTCTACGCATTTACTCATGTAATGCTCATACGAGCCTGTGAAGAATTGCCCATCTTGGAGATGAAACTGGCTGAGATTTAACGAAATTGTCACAGCCAGCGGTCATCTAACATGAGTTTGTAATGTGCTGGATTTCCTGTCAAACCACAAGTGAGAGGAGACGGCACATTAGCCCTGTACTGCCTCGGAGGGAAAAGACATCCTTCGGGGACACGTCTGGCCGCCGGCCTCCAGGACGCGAAACTCCCGCTTCCGGGGACCCGCCTGCCGCGAGACGCACATCCCCCGGGACCTGCTTCCCGGCATCCTACCCGCGCGACCGCTCACTTCCGGTACTAAGTAGGCCCAAGCAGAAGCATCACCTCGTCGGCATCCTGTTCCTTGGATAAGCTCTCCTCCAGAATCCCCAGCCCTACACCCCTGTCCCAACGCGTCGGGGCCCTCTCTCCATACAGTCGTCTTACCGGCCCTGCGCCCCCCCCCCCCCCCGTGAGCCCCAGGGCCCCTCGCGGATGACCGCCCTCACCTCTTCTCTCTTCGCCTGCCGCGGCCTTTTACAAACATGGCCAAACTGTTCGCTTGTAACGGCGGTCGTTATTGGTCAGAGCCGCCCACGCGCGGCAAATGCCCACCCACTTCAGCTCGCTTCGTCTTATGGGAATTGTAGTTTTCTACTCCTGGAGAGCGCTGAGAACTTCCGGCAGGATCCGGTGCCGCTTAGGTTCTGTCGCTGGATTTAACCCTACTGGTGTGGAAGGCACCAACACAACTCCAAGGAAAACCGTTACTTCAGACCCGCAAAAATCATGTTTCTGTGTATAGTTTCACTGGAAATTGATGCAAAAGTCGTCTGAGATTTTCTACTCTAGCGGATGTCGTGATTTTTGTTTAGAGATCTTGCCCACCAAAGTGCTTGTTGTTTCTATCTCTTGTATGTTTATAATAAGTTATCCTTTCCTCCCTTAGTTAGTTTGACCTATTGAACGTTTTCCCTTACAATGAGCCGAAATTGGCCTCCTGTAATCCTAGTTCCAGTCTTGGAACCACACAGAATAAACTCAAAATCTTTGAACATGATTGGAGACAGCTTCCCAATACAATGTGTCTCAAAGTGAGGACTCAGAAAACCCTGTGATGAGATTTTCTGCACCCCTCGCCCTAGTCTAGCTGCTTCCTTCTAGTGGCGCTGTGGGCAGGTTCTTTACCACTGAGGAAAAAAAAATTTTTTTTTGGTGGGTTACTGAGGATTGCACTCAGGGGTCACTTAACCATCAAATCAAAGTCATGGTGATGCACATTTGCCAACCTGTGGCTCTGGAGGCTGAGACAGGAGGATTGAGTGTTCAAAGCCAGCCTCAGCAACTTAGCAAGGCCCTATGCAACTCAGTGAGACCTCTAAAACACAAAAAAGGGGTGGGGATGTGGCTCAGTGGTTAAGGTCCCCTGGGTTTTATTATGCTTTTCTTTTTGGTACTGGGGATTGAACTCAGGGGCACTTGACTACTGAGCCACATCCCTAGCCCTGGGCAAACCAGGATCTGAAACATGTAATAATGGCTGTTATGTGCTTAGCAATGTTATACGCTTTGTGCTAAATGCTTTATGTCTCATAAATAACGTATTGTTAAGCCTTATAACAACCAGAATTTTTTCTCCTATTCTGAAGTGCACTTTTCTCACTTTTTAGCATGTTTGCTATCAGTGTGACAACCAGAATTTTTGTAATATATTCTCTGGGGCAGGGTTGTGGCTCAGTGGTAGAGCGCTTGCCTTGCATGAGTGAGGCACTGGGTTTGATCCTCAGCACCACATAAATAATAAATAAAATATTGTGTCCATCTACAACTAAAAAAATATTTAAAACAAAAAAGGGCTGGGGATGTGGTTCAGTGCTTAAGTGCCCCTGGATTCAATCCCGGGTACCAAAAAAGAAAAGAAATTGTTATATACTTTATACCACGTTATTTACACAAGTGTAAATTAGAATCACAACAGATTTTTGTTATTGATTTCTAACCTAATTTCTTTATGGTCAGAAAACATAAGTTATTTTTTTCTTTCCTTTTGAAACTTTGCTTTATTTTTCTGTTAATTGATTGAATGATAGCTTCTGACGCTTAAAGTCTTCTTCTTTCCTTCCTTTTTTGGTGGTACTGGAGATTGAACCCAGGGGCCCTCAACCACTGAGCTACATCCTCAGTTCTTATTTTTTTCCCCATATTTTTTATTGGTGTATTATAGTTGTACAGAATGGTGGGATTGGCTGTTAAATATTCATACATGCACACAACATTTGACCAATATTATCCCCCAGTTTTTCCCCTGCCCCTTCCTATTCCCTTGCCTCTATTCTGATTTCCCTTAGATTTTCATGAGATCCCCCCATTCTTTTCCTTTTTCCTCTATAGATTCCACATGAGAAAAAAATAAGACCCTTGACCATCTCAGTTTAGCTTATTTAACATAATATCCTCAAGTCCCATCCATTTTCCTATAAATGACAATTTAATTTTTCTTTATGTTGAATTAAATTTCATTGTGTATATGTGCCATATTTTCTTTATACATTCATCTAATAATGGAAACCTAGGCTGGTTCTATAGTTGACAGCTATTGTGAATTGTGCTGCTATAAACATGGGTATGCATGTATTTCTACGATTACTTAATTCCTTAGGATAAAGACTGAGAAATGGTATAACTGGGTCATATAGTTGTTCCATGCCTAGTCTTTTGAGCAACCTCCACTCTGATTTCTGTAGTGGTTGTACTAATTTACAATCCCACTAATAGTGTATGTTCCTTTTTCTCCACATCCTAACATTATTGTTTGTATCCTTTTATTTAATAATTTTTAAATATTTATTTCTTAGTTTTAGATGGACACAATATCTTTATTTTATTTTTATGTGGTGCTGAGGATCAAACCCAGTGCCTCATGCATGCCAGGCAAGCATGCAACCACTTAAGCCACATCCTGAGCCCCTATTGTCTGTATTCTTGAAGACTGCCGTTCTGATTGGTATGAGATGAAATCTCAGGGTATTTTTTATTTGAATTTCCCCAATTTCTAATGATATTGGACATTTTTCATGTTTGTTGATTATTTGTATTTCTTCTTTTGAGAAGTGTCTGTTTAAGCTCTTTCTACATTCTTGATTTAATCCTGTCAGAAGAGTAGCTAATAAAGATTTTCTCCCATTCTGTAGGTTCTCTTTTTCACACATTCTTGTTTTCTTTGCTGTGTAGAGCTTTTAAACATTTTTGGTTTTTTTCTTTTGGTACTAGTGATTAAACCCAGTTTTTTTTTTTTCCCTTGGGGGGGGGGGATACCAGGGATTGCTTAACCATTGAACCACATCTCCAGCCCCATTTAAAGTATTTTGACAGGGTCTTGCTAAGTTGTTTAGGGCCTCACTATGTGCTGTCTTAATTCTCTGCTTCTCTATGGAACAGATAATACTATTTCCATTTTGCAAATGAGAAAATTAAAGGAGAGTCTTTCTCCCCATTGGTTTGTCTCCATACTTAGAATATGCTTTTTGTGTGTGTGTGTGTGTGTGTGTGTGTGTGTGTGTGTGGTGCTGGGGACTGAACTCAGGGCTTTGTGCATGCTAGGCAAGCACTCTACCAACTGAGCGATTTCCTCAGCCCCCAGCATTTTTGATTCATCAGTTTAGTATTACCTTTCTATTATTACACGCATCTTAATTCACAGACCCTTGTCAATAGAACTCTTTTTTTTAAAATTGAATCCCATTTCAGAGTTTCCCTTATTATGACCAGTACATGTCTTTTTTTACATCCTCCATACTGCTATAAAAATGTTCCATTATCTAACTCTACACAGTTCAACCTAATAACAAGGTCTACGCCTCTGACCATCAGTGTAGACTGGCTGCCAAGTGGTCAAAGCCATCATCCTAGCACTTCCCTTTATCCATTCCTGTGCTGAATCCCATCTCTAGACACTCCATCATACTTTCTTTTTTCCCCATACTGGCCCTACCACTGAACTATATATATCCACAGTTTTTTTTTTTTTTTTTCATTTTGAGAGAGGGTCTTGTCAAGTTGCCCAAGCTGGCCTTGAACTTATCATCTTACCTTAGCCTCCTCGGTGCTTAGGATTATAGGTGTGCACCACCATGGCTAATTCATACAATTTTTTGGAGGCAATATCCTATTGACCCCTCGTTTTCAATGTTGCTGTTGAGAATCAAAGTCCAGTATTATTCTGTCCTTTTTCCATTTCACAACTTTTAGAATGTTCCAAAATTTCTTAGTGGTACAGGTTTTTAATTCAATAATAGCTTTGTTATGATCCCCAAACCTATCATTTCATCAGGAAAAAATTTCAAATTCCACTCACAATCTCAAGTTCTCTTCCTGGAGTCTGATTAGTTGTATACGATCTCCTAAATTGGTCCAACTTTTTTTCCCCTTTGCTTTTTTTCTCCTTTTTTTTAAAAAACTGGTGATTATATCTGTACATAATAGTGGGATTTGTGGTTGCATATTCATACATGCACACAACAATGATTTGCTCAATACCACCCCCCAGTATTTCCCCTTTCCCTCTCCTCTCTCCTCTGATCCCTTTCCTCTGTTCTACTTATCTCTCTTAGATATTTTCATGAGATTTCCCTCTCCTTCACCTTTCTTATCCTTTTCCTTTAGTTTCCACATATGAGAGAAAACCTAAGACTCTTGACCTTCTGAGTTTGGCTAATTTCACTTAACATAATAACCTCAAAAGAATTGGAATGCTTTACAAATTTGCCTGTCATTCTTGTGCAGGGACCATACTAATTTCTGTGCTTTTCCAATGTTAGTATGTGCTGCCAAAGCAAGTACTTCTCTTTGCTTTTGATTTCTATTCAAAGACTTTTTTTTTTTTTAAGTTGTAGATGGACAGTATGCCTTTATTTTATTTATTTTTATGTGGTGCTGAGGATCAAGGCAAATGCTTTGCCCCAGCCCATTTCCTTGTCTTTTAGTATTTCTGACTGGCACAATTCAAAGTAGGGTGACTAGTGGCCAATTTTTGTTTTTGTTTTGGTGGAGAGTTTTTAAATGTCAGTGCCTGCCTTTTGGTAGTCATTCAGTTTTTTTCACAGAAGGATTCTCCAACATCTTGCCTGGTGGATATATATATTCTAGAGCTGAAGAAAGATAAGATGCTAGGGAATATGAATTTATACGGTAAATGTTCCTTTTCTGTACAGCATGGCCTAGTAAGGAAGTATACTGTTTCCTTTTTTCAGTTGAATTCTTATCAGAGTAACATTAGCCTCCCATTTCAGAAATCATTATTACTGGTCAATCTTGGTAAAAATCTCAGTTCCAAATCCAGTGCTGCAGATGACTGAATAAAACAGAAATTTTTAATAACTAAAGGGTACTCACTCAAGGTAATCCACTATAAATATTTATAGACTTTATATTTGGTTAATTCCTTATATGATATCTATGTGAATTAAAGTCTCCAAATGAAAGGAGAAAAATCCTATTCAAATGGAACATACTCAATCATTTTATTAAAGCTTTTAAATTAAAATTCAGAGTTTTGGAGTTATGGTCTTTAAATCCTAAACATAGCAGTCAAAATGAAGTGGATGAAATAAGATGTAATAGGAATAACCCACTATAAAGGCATAAATGTATCTAAAAATCATTTAAGAGGTTTGCTTTTTTATTTTCTATAAATACATTTTAAAAAATATTTATTTTTTAGTTGCGGTTGGACCCAATACCTTTATTTATTTATTTTTATGTGGTGCTGAGGATCGAACCCAGGGCCTCACACGCACCAAGTGAGCGCTCTACTGAGCCACAACCCCAGCCCCAAACACTTTTTTTTCCTAATTCACTTAGTGAATTTAGTCACTCCCTTTGTAAGTGCAATCTAGTCCTTTTCGATTGCCTTTTTAAATGGGACTCTAATGCTTACATAAAAGGAAGATGACCAATCACAAGAATAAAACAGGAGAATAAAAACTAGAATGTGAATCTCATTTTCAACAGGAGATAATATTAACAAGGAAAATGAGACCCTAGTTTCACATTTAGTTAAAACTGCAGAATGCAAATTCTTTGTGGTATTAAACAGCTAACCCAATGCAAACCACGGTTTTTGGAATAAGAATTAAAATATATAAACATCTGAATGAGTGAATATAACAATTGGCTAGACCAAAAAGAAAAAAATTCTCACACACAATAATCACTGCCAAGAAGATCCCACAGGTTATAGAAAACATAAAGGAACTTTAATATCCAAACAGGGTAAAGAATTCTGGATTAAAATGACCCATTAAGAGTGAATCATTTCAGGTTCTTTACAGTACCAGAAAGTCTGAATGCATATTGCAGAGAATGAAATTATTAAAAATTTTAATTTCCTTACCTGATACTAATTCCAGTATGATTTTTTAGACTGAAAAATCTTTAAATGACTTGTTTTAACACTAAGGTTTAAACCAAAGTTAGCAATGTTTCTGAAATATGAATTTGTTCAGTAGTGACCTTTTCATTCTGAATACTGGGTATCTCTTTCTCCTCAAAAAGTAGTCAATGTACAGTTGAAAGCTTGTACAGTAAGAAAATATACTGGCAAATAAAAACTGTTACTACTTGAGATAGTCAAAATGAGAAGAAAGCTACACTTGTGTTCAGATTAAATTACTTATGCCCAAACAACTTACCCTGCAGTCCATGAGTGTATAGGAAAATACTTTTCAATAAGAGAAAAATGAGGCTTCTAAAATAGAAACATAAGCCAGAAGAATCTAAAAATAGCTTCCTGATATTTTATTTTGAGTATTTAAGCTGCTTTTGGTTGCATGCCCTGATCTGTAGAAGTTAACAAGGAAATAACATTTCCAAGTATTTAAAAAATTTACTCATCTTCCATAAAGCAACTTTTAATGTATTATCAACACTTAAAAATACACAGTGACTTAATGAAACATCAGTACAACTGCATAGAATTGAGCTCCAGAAAACTATACACTTACAAGCTGTCTTTCCTGGGCTCTGGTTTACAAAGTATTATTGGCTTAGAGACCAGCTTAGAGTCATTTGTCCTACCTGGAAGATACAGGCCAGGAAACTCATTTGACTTCACAGGCCTTTGCGGTTCCTAAATAAAATACTGGGAGCTCTCGAAGAATCTTAAAAACCACCAACCTTTTAAACACATACACTGGGGACCCTTCCTCTCTGTGAGTCAAGGAGGATTTGTGACCTTCACTGAAAACAAAACAAAAATCACATCTCCCACAACTCTTCTAAGAGACTCTGAAATGTACTAGAAATTTCAAAACTAGAACAATGCCATCAAAGATTAAACCTCTTAATGCTTGGAGCCACACCAAAATAATAAAATTGGTAACTCCAATAAAACAGGTACCCAAAGAATCAAAATAGTGATTGCACTGAGGATTCTCTTCTTTGAAGGCTGTTTAAGGAGGTAGGATTTTAAGGTTTTCTTTTCTTTTTTTTTTTTTCTTTTGTTTGTTTTTATTTATCTTTTGGCCTCTGAACATTTAAAAAATGCTTTGCCCGGCTGGTCCTTCAGGCTATTTTTGGAGTTTATAATGAACCCCAAGCCTGACATAAGGATATTCTACAGTTTCACAGCTATCATTTGTACATATTAAGTTGATTTACTCTTTTTAAGTAAATCTAACTAGAAAATGGCAAATTATATTCCTTTACATACAACTTTGTGTCTCAAAATTCTTGAAAAACAAGAGATGATTTTGTATTCAAAGACTACCAAAGTATGTATTTGATATTCACATGCAAACAACCTAAAACCTTATAAATCTTATGTCAACTCTGCATGATGCCTTTAAAAAGGAAATGACATACAAAGTTTGGTAACTGTGCAAAATATTAAACTGCTAAAACATTTTACATAATGAAATAATACATGTAAATGTATAAGTTGACACATGAAAGTTACATGGCATAAGAACTTATCACATTTCAGAGATTTTTCTTGAGTAACAAGTTTTTGTTTTTACAGTTCCTGGTACACAGCAAAGTTTATCACAGAAGATAAAAATCCTTTTAAACAAATCCAACGGAATTCTTGAGGCACCTTCTCATATAAAACACAAGATGAATGTAGTTATCAATCCATCTGAGAAAAGTTTTCAATCTAAGTGAACATCATTTTTTTCCATTTAACTATATTTTACAGAACTTTAATAAGGCAAGACAAATTTGTGAAAAAATGTAAATACAAAAATGATGTAAACTAATAATTTATATTTAAAAACCCCAAGGGGTAACAGTGAAGATGGGACAGCTCAAACAATGCCTATTATTTTTTAAATCTAAAACAGAATTGTGCACAAGCTGAAGATAACAAAGAACTTCTAGACTTTGCACAGTTTTGGTTTTTCTTTCTTTTTTTTAAAACCATCTTTACATTACATGTTTTAAATCATATCAGGAATGCAAACTACAACTGCACACTACTTTAGTGGAAAAATGTTCAACATTGTGCAATTTTCTGCCTCTTAATTTTTAAAAAGTGGCAGCAATCCCTGCATTTGTATTTGAAACAAGGATCTGAGAAACTTTATCAAAAAAGGTAATGAAGGCAAAAATTGGCAGACATCCAGCATCTTGTTTCTTTTTAAAAACAATGTGGATGATAAGTAATTTCATGATTAAAAAAATGAATCTTTTAAATAAATACATTGTATCTGATATTTGCACTGACTGATTTGATAAATCTTTTAAGTAAACAACGGCTTTACTACACTCCCTGTAGCCTCAAGCCACTGGCTTTATATTCTAGAGTCCTTTTTCACTGGGTTTCATACCCTGCCACTCGATATCCCGCTGGCTGATTAGGCAACATGCTGCCATTCTGTCCTTGAGGTGGCTGTACTCCGTAATTTGGTCCCATCCAAGGTGCAGAAGACTGTGTCTGACTGGTAGAGAAGGTGAAAGAAGCAGAAGAGAAGGGACATCTACCAGTTAAAACAATGCAATGCTAAGAACAAATCACAACATGGAAAGGGAAAACAAACTTTTACTTAAACCCAAATATAAAAGTAACTGTAAAGCCAGAGAAAGTAAACGCAAAAGTAAAGTAAAAATATCTATATATTCTCCCTCTGAGTTGTACTTAAACTGAGTAAGTTACTACCTGAAAGAAACTCCATCATTTGGTATAATAAGTACTAGCATTTAGGGCTGGGGATGTGGCTCAGTGGTAAAATGCTTACCTCACATGTACAAGACCCTAGGTACAATCCCCAGCACCCAACAAGATAAAACAAAAAAACTAGCATTTATATTAAATAAATTAAAATAAGTATGAGCATGTGTAACTCATAAATTTTTCAACACTGTACGTGGTGCTGAGGATCAAACCCAGTGCCTCATGCATGTGAGGCGAACACTCAGCCACTGAACTACAACCCCAGCCCCTATACTACTCTTTTGTTTCAGTTGCTGATATGCTATTAGAAAGAAGACGACCAGGGACTGAAGAAACTTCAGGGCCAAGTGAGCATGGCCAGAGCTGCAGTGGCAAGAACCAAAAGCACCTGGGAGGCCAGGATAATGCTGGTGGCGTGTATTATTACCATAGAATCAATTCTGACAAATAGCACTTAGTTACTTTCGAAAGATGGTATGAGGTATTACCGAAAACTGTCAGACTTAATAAACCAAACTGTCAGACTTAATAAAATTGAACGTTGGTCAGTGAGCAGATAAAGTGCTGCCAAAACAAGCCTGGAACTGCTGCCACCAGTGATGTGGTGCAATTTAGCTACTACAGTTCTGGGAAAGGGAAAATTCTCAAAGTAGCCAGTCATCATCATCATCAAGTCCAAATTCCTCTCTAGAAGAGCTGAGGAGATTTTTTTTGTGTGACTATGTCCTTGGTAGCTAAAAGCCATGTGGAGAGAAGTTCACTAAATGCAAACAAATACTTTACTCTTGGGTTGAAAAAATGTGCATCTAAGAGTGGCTAAGTGACCATTAGTCGTCTGAAAGGCTTAACAACTATTAAGTACTTTTTCCCCTCACTAAAAAAATTAGTTGATTTTTTTACCAAACATTACCAGAATTTGTATGACTCTGATTATACTTCAAGGCAACAAGTTTCTAGGAAAAATCACCAAGAAGAAGAAGAAGAAGAAGAAAAAAAACCCCAGACAAACAAAAAACATCACCCGCCCCCGACCCGGGCAGTACTGGGGATCGAACCCAAGGCCTGCACATGCTAGGCAAATGCTCTACCACTGGGCTACATCCCCAGCCTTCTAGGCAAATTTTTAAAGATAATTATTTAAAACTATAAATTAGGCAGGCATAGCAGCACATGTGTTTACTGTCAAGACACTCAAGAAGCTGAAGCAGGAGGATTCCAAGTTTGAGGACAGCCTGGGCAACTTAGTGAGACCCTCCCTGTCTCAAAAAATAAAAAGTTCTGGGGATGTAGCTCACTGGTAAAGTGCTCCTGGGTTCAATCTCCAGTATCAAACCAAACCATAAATTACTATTCTAAAAGTAAGTCCTTCAAAGGTTATAGTTGTGCTTTGCATAGGGGGCCACATTGCCTACTAATTACTTAAAATTTCTTTTGGACATTTTCGAATGTTAATAAAGCAAAAGGTCAAACATGCTTACTTAAATCCCTGCTGGTTCCATGCCTGGCCATACATTCCATATGCAGGTACTTGCCATCCATTAGGCATATACTGGCCAATTTGTTGTGCGTTTCCATACCACTGGCCCCACTGGCCATAAGCTTGTGGATATCCAATTTGATTCTGCTATTAGGTAAAATTATAAGAGATAATTTAGTATTATTTTAAATTATTTGTATATATGCAGTTCTTGATATACCACAAATACTTAACAAAACATATATAAAACATCTTTATAATTAAAATGACAGGATAAACAATAATTTAGTGATTACTAAAACAAAACAAAACAACAACAAAAAACCCCTTAGGGCCAAATGGCATGGCCCATGCCTGTAATCTCAGCAGTCAGGGATACTAAAGCAGGAGGATCCAGAATTCAAAGCCAGCCTCAGCAATTTAGCAAGGAGCTAAGCTACTCAGTCACACCCTGTCTCTAAATAAAATACAAAAAAAGGGCTGGGAATGTGGCTCAGTGATTAAGTGTCCCTGAATTCAATCCCCGGTAACAAACAAACAAAAAAACCCTTAGGTTCTCCTGCTGCAACTCTACATCATTTTCTATAGTCTATAAGGCAGTGATAATGCCCCAACAATAAACTTAATATAATGTTTAAGTGTTTGGTAAATTATTTACTTAAATGAAGAAATCTATATAGTTTAGGATTTTCTTACTCCCACCTCTCTGCTCCACTTATACTTCCTCAAAAAAATCTTTATGAGATCAAGTTTAAAGTTGCCTAGAAAAACAAAAAACAGCAAAATCTGGAAGAAATTCCAAGGTGCTAAACATATTTATAGCTTTTTCTTTTAATCAGTTGAGTCAAGCACACCTGTGAATTCTCCAAATAGTATGTGAATAAATCTACCAAGTATTAAAGACTTAATGCCCTGTTAGGTTTGTCAGAGCATTTTAAAATTCACTGTGTGAGCATGAGTCAATTGAGGCAGTTACACTCATCACGTCAGCACTGCAATCCATGAAAACACCACTCTGGAACTATAATACATATAGGAAGAGCTCTTACATATTATGAATTGAACTAGAAACTCATTAGCAAAGATTATCAACAATTCTCATTTTAAAATAACCTTACTAATATTAACCCAGCAATTACTTCCCAAAGTTCAGGACCCTCTTACCTGTTGCACAGGATTTATCATATCAAGAGTTTCTTTGCCCCAATAGCATTTCACAACATGACCTTCAATAGTAGTACCATTAACAGAAACAATTGCATGTGCAGCACTTTCATGGGAATTAAACCTATTGAAAACAATATTAAGAATCAATAAAAATTCTTTTAAATTGAATTTAAGAATAAGACCTATTTTTAAAATCAAGGCAAATAAACTCAATAGCCGTTTGGCAGGGGAAAAAAGATCAAGATGATCTTAAGGTAGAACAAGCAGTTGGTTGGTTTTCTTTGCCATTTCTTTAAAAGATCTTTTAGTTCTGGAGAAACTTTTCTAAATAGAGGATATGTTGGAAGAAGGGAGAATAAAACATACAGGAGCAAAAATGCTATATGCTAGAGAAATTCCCATGTCTTTATAAATGAGGTAAATTCTTAAGAAACCATTGTTAAATGTTCAGAAATTATTTGAAGGGGGAAAGTTTTCACAAAAACCATCCCTACCTCACAAATGAATATCCTTTATCTGGAAAGACTCGAATTTCCATTATTTGCCCAAATGGTGAAAAAGTCTGACGCATTAGTTGTTCTGTTAGACAAAAAACAAAAACAAAAGAAACCACACTCAGTTATAGTAAAATCCTACAAATATTAAGCTTCTCAGCTTAAAGATTAATTTCCAGATAGCACATAGGTAAAGCTCCCATACCTGTTAGTCCAGAAGTAACACCTCCACAGTAAACAGTACAGTTGCTTGGACTAGACTGATTTACAACCTCATCATATGATAGCTGTTTAGTGTTTGCTGGAGAAGGAAAAAGTTTTACATTTTCAATTCATTAAATAAATGTTCAGAAGGACAAAAGCAGCATTAACTACACTACTATAATAGCAATATTTGATCAAAATGCTTAGAGAACACACATTACATTTGACATTAGGATTAAACCTCCCCCAAGAATGTCTAAAAAATTACCCAGTATTCTCTATGTAATAGGAGACTTGACATTAGAGATTGAATATCATTTACTATTTAAAAATTACAAAAATGAAAACTAAGTACATTTTTGAACAGTAGTCTTGATTTGCTTCTCATCTATTTCTGCAATAAGTCTCCGGGAACAGCTCTAACATTTACAATCTAGTGTATTTTTCTCCAAAATTCCACATTTCCTTTTCTTCTCCAATACACCTACACTCATATGTACTCTTTGGAGCTGGAGGCTTTCGGGTTGCCCAGTTAGTTCTGATTTGTCGTCCACCAAGCCATTGGCCACCCATCTGTTGAATAGCGTTTTCGGCATCCTGTTCCGCACAATATTAGAAATGACAAAGAATATACCATTAGTAGATGGTAAACAACTTTTAGCGGTAGACATAACTTTGTGCTTTTTGTTAGTGTTTTTTAGTGAAGATACTTTATTAAACATACAATTTATAACAGCTTTCTAAAAATGCAATGGTGATGCTAGGCACCATGACGCATGCCTGGGTAATCCCAGCAGCTAGGGAGGCTGCATGTTCAAAGCCAGTCTCAGCAATGGTGAGTCACTAAGCAACTCAGTGAGACCCTGTCTCTAAATAATAAACAAAATTAAGACTAGGGATGTGGCTCAGTGGTTGAGTGTCCCTGAGTTTGATCCCCCACCAAAAAATGCAATGGTGCTAAACTGGGCGCAGTGGCACACACCTGTAATGTCAAAGGCTGGAGAGGCTGGGGCAAGAGAAGCCCCCACATTCAAGGGCAGCCTCAGCAACTTAGAGAGACCCTGCCTCAAAATAAAAAATAAATAGGGCTGGGGATATAGTTCAGTGGTTTAGCTCCCCTGGGTTCAATCTCTGGTATCACTCTCACACACACACATATACACACAAACACACACACAGTAATGGTGCCTTTTAATTATCTTTTTTGGATATCAGACTTTGGTAACATTAATTATCTGAAAAAGTCCAAGTCCCAATCCCCTAATAATAAGGTAGCTATCATCAACTTTATGCAAAAACTCAACCTAATATAAATAAAAATTTTATTTTACACGATCCCAACAAACTTATTTATGATAGTATTGGGTTTCTCATTCATCTAAAAGTAAATATGGAGTTCTAGGTACTAGGTTAAGAGCTGGGAATACACTGTGGTAGGAGGACAAAAAGCAATTATAAATTGTGGTAGGTACCATGACAGGAACAAAATACTAAGATAAATAATATGGGCATGGGGATCTACTTTAGACAGCATGAGTAGGAAAATGCTTTTTTTTTTTTTTTTTGGTACTGGGATTGAACTCAGGAGTATTTGACCACTGAGCCACATCCCAGCCCTATTCTGTATTTTATTTAGAGACAAGGTCTCACTGAGTTGCTTAGTGTTCACTTTTTACTGAGGCTGGCTTTGAATTCATGATTCTCCTGCCTCAACCTCCGGAGCCACTGGGATTATAGGTGTGTGCCACCGAGCCTGGCAGGAAAGTACTTTTTAAAATGATATAATCTGAGACTGTGAAGAGCAGAAGCTAGCCAAGTCAAAATAAAGGGGAAGTAAGCCCTGTCGCGACCCCTTGCCCGCAAGGAGGACGCAACTCAGGAATCTTCTTTCAGCAGTTTATTCAGGTCCTTGATACTTTTTCTTCTTTCAGCAGTTTATTCAGGCCTTTGTATTGACATGTCTTTTAGCTTCTACTGCTACTCCTACTGCCACTACTACTACTGCTACTACTACTGCCACTACTACTACTGCTACTACTACTACTCCCGTGTGCCCCAGCCTTAATAAAGCAGATAAAGCCCCAATGCACAACTGCCACGTGGACTTTTCTCATAGGGTGCCAAGTCACAGCGTGCCAACTCATTCTGATAAGGAGTTGTTTGTCACAGACTACAGGGGAAACCAGCGCCATCTTGTAATGGCGGCCACAGTTCACAGAAACGGCTCACCACAAAGCCCCAGTAGATGGAAAAGCACTGCCAGTTCTAAGGCAGGAAAGAGTTTGGTCTGTGTCACAAAAACATGTGGAAGATTAGTTTCAACAGAATCTAGTGCATAAAAAGGGAGAGTGCCAGAGAACTGAAAAACTTTAAGAAAGTGCATCATGATCTAATCTGTTTTCTTTGGTAGCAGGGATTGAACCAAGAGGCTGAGGCTATTATAAAATATATTTTTTATTTTGAGAAAGGGTCTTGCTAAATTGCTTAAGGCCTCATTAAGTTGCTGAGGCTGGCTTTGAACTTGAGATCCTCCTGCTTCAGCCTCCTGAGCCATTGCGATTACAGGCATATGTCACCATACCAGCTTGATCCATGTTTTAAGGGTATTCTTAATGCTAGAAGAAAAATGATTTAGGGGAATGGATATTAAAAGGAAAAGGACATTTTGAGACTACTTCAACATTGCAGATTTTTAAAAATGCTGTTGGCCAGTAGCTGTGGCTATAATCTAAAAGAAAGGCCAACAAAATGGGGTACTGGGGAGGACACAGTAAGCAAAAGGGGACAAATCTAAGATAATTCCTAGGTTCCTGCTTCAGAAGTTGGAAGAACAGTGTCAGCTTTAACTAAAATGAGAGCAGACTAGGAGGGAGGTGGGGAACAGGTTTGAGGGATAAATGAAGAGTTCTGCTTTTAAGTTTAAGATGTCTGTGACTCATCTAAACAAAGACCATTTGATTTTAGTTCTTACTAAATATGCATTCACTAGTAATTTTTTAAATAGTAGAAACTTACATTCCATATTCTCAAATGGGAAAAATGAGTTCTAGCCCACCCAAACCTGCAACTTCATTTCCCTACATTGTATTAATCACCTTCAAAACCTATGAATTCAATACCCTAAGGAACTCAAATTAATTGTGGCTATTAATCCATCGTATAAATTGTTTATCTTTCCAAAATATTATACTGTGACTAACAATAAAGTAAAACTATGCTTCATAATTATTTTTATTTTCTCACCTTATAGGAAAAATATCTTATAATTGATAGATGGGACACATACATGACTGATTTTCACTTGTCAAGATGCTTTTACAATTTCTAACTTTTCTTCTAATATATGGGTTCTTTCCAATACTATAAGCTTACCTATTTTCTTCACAGATTTTTCTTTTTTTAGAAGACAGTTATATTTTACATAGTAAAGATGATAGCTATACTATACATTGCCACAACCACCGGATCATCTGATCAGAAGACATAAGTTGTTCTGAGAATGACTGAATTATAATTGTAGGACATTTTATATTCTCTTTTTTGGCCTTGCTAGCCATATCTAGGCTTTTAAAGCAAATTTCTAATTTGGACAGTAAATTTGGGGCAAATGATCATAAGTAGTTATAGTACATATCTAGATGGTAAAAGTTCATAGGAATAATCAGACATAAGGTCAATGTAAGTAGACATAGGAACTAGAAAAAAACGATTTTTTTTGAGACAGGGTCTTACTAAGTTGCCCAGGCTGGCCTTGAACTTGACATCATCCTGGGATTATAGGAGTGCACCAACATGTCAAGTTTGAAAAACTTTTAGGCAACTACCTGTCTTAATATAATGGTGAACAATAAAATTCAAAGTTTAATGCAAATGTAGTATATGCTGAAAGATTTGTACATATAAATTCTCCTGGACTGGGGTTGGGGCTCAGTGGTAGAGCGCTTGCCTTAAATGTGTGAGGCACTGGGTTCAATTCTCAGCACTGCATATAAATAAAAAAGAAAGGTGCCTCAACAACTAAAATAAATATAAATAAATAAAATTAAAAATAAAATAAATTCTCCCACATGTATCCCTGTAGTTTTGCAAGTGTGATCCTACTTCATTTAACTGCTCTGACCTTTAGTTATATTAAAAAGTTTTAAGCACTTAATTATTTGAATTGATAATATACTTACATTAATAACTACAACACAATGTACAGTGTATTACTTCATCTGCTTGTTTCTCAACAACTACCCCCAGACCCAAAACCCTGCAAGGAGACTTTTTTTATCCCCACAAGGGAAAAAAAACACCCAAACACACTTTAATACAAGTCCCTTTCCTTTTAATGAAAATTAGCTTTCCAGCTAATAATACCTATAGAAATCTTTCTACAACGAGTATGCTACCCTTCCTTGTCTCTACAAAAATCAGAAATTTCAAATTAATGCAAATTGGGGTTTAGTAACTATTTGTAGAATGAAAGGAAAATATGAGAAGTTTCAATACAATGTATCTTTTTTTTTAAAGAGGTTCTCAACCATCAGAGAATTTTATTACTTACTTTTTAATTACTCTGGAAATATAAAAGGGGAATAACAAGATTTTTCTTTCTTCCTTCCTTCCTTCTATTTAGGTGCTTGGGGATTGAACTCAGGGTCTGGAGCATGCTAAGCTGTGATCTACTATTCAACCATGTCCCCAGTCCCCATAACAGAGATTTTTAACATCTACTTTTGACTGATAATTTAAATATCTTTACTATGTATATTCTGAAACACTGTATCAGTACTTTGTATGCATCACATGTTAAATAAATGTTGACTAAATAATCAGAAAGGAGAAAGAAGATATCTTCTAGTGAGGGTGCTAATTATTGGCAAAATAAAAGATGTAAGAAAAATAAACTTTTTACATCCTTTACTCTTAAAGCACTGCACATGCACTTCTGATTGAGCTCACCCATTTGTTGAAAAAGGAGACAAAGCCATATCCCTTAGACTTTCCTGTTGCCATATCTTTTACCACTCGGGCATCTCTGAAAACAGAAACAACCAGAAGTTTAGGTTTGCAAACTGTTTTCTAGATATAAAATGAAAATTTTATATACAACTCATTTTCAGGTTTCACCTTCATTAAAGTAAACCTTTAATGTAAATTTACCTTTTAATCTACAAATTTACATGTATTAACAAGTGAGGCTTTATGTTATAAACATGCAAATCAATAACTTCTTAAATATTTGTATATATTATTCAGAAATTGCCTCCCATTTCAAAATGTTTTTTAAACTTTTAAATATTAGACATTGTAAAAGTAGCTATTCACATGAATTATTTAACCACTTATAAAGTTTCCAGGCACATTAAATATTGGCTTTCTTTAACCATGCAACTTATAATTTGCTATTTGATACCATATTCTACCTAATCATAAAAAATTAAAATAGAGAACTGGAAATAAAAGAATTAAAAAGTTGTATATTCCCTAAACTAACTAAATTATTTCATTTTCTAGGATCAATTTATACCCCCCACTTTTGGGAATGGTAAATTTTGAGAACTTCATAATTTGAGAAATGTTAAATCATTGAAGAAGAATACTAGATACACTTCAGTTTTAAAATATACAAGAAGATTTTATACTGAATTTTATAATAGCATTCATATTAAGATTGATTGGAAACTATAAGATATAAAAGCAAAATTTTAAAAAAGTCAGAAAGTAAAAAAGCACGCCAACATTTATCCACTGTGAACCGTAGCTTGTAGTTAGCCAGGGCAATTCTGTCCATTCTTCAGAGACACTCTGCAAAATAACCAGAGCCCTATTATTTGAGATTGAGTAAAAACCCAGCCATGATAGCTAAAACTCCATACCTCAAAAAATTGGACTCATATTGTGCTTCACAATCTGCTTTTAATTTAGCCAGGTATGTCACAATGCTTGCTCTCTCAGGACACATGAACAAAACAGGCACTTTTATAACAAAAACCCAAGTCAGAAAGCCATGCAATGTAATTTCATATTAAAGTACACATAAGCATATTTTAGATCAATATAGAAATTGATTTATTAAGTGTAGTCAAAATGACAAGAAGTGCTGGTGAAAAGGGAAAACTAAAGCAAGTCACTTTACAAAATGTAAAATTAACTTATTAAATTACCTGTATGGTACACATGCATTTAATTTGGTATGTGATTCACTTCTATACCAAAATATGCTACATTACCCTAAACTCAAGAAACATGAGGAGTTCAAGTTCTGTAAATTAGGGAAGTATTATATTTCTTATACTAAATTTTTAATAGGCCACTGTTTATTATATACCTTCTAGAAAATAAAGCACTGTTAAAGGCTCCCTATTAAAAATGCCTATCATGAGAACCCTTCAACATATAGTTATTACTTATCTCTTAACAACAACCACCACCAAAAATTAAAGAAAGAAAGAAAAGTCAGGAAAATATGCTGCCAGTTGTCTTTTAAATTTAGGAAAACTAACTCCTTATATAGCCTAAAACTCAGACATTACATAATACCTCAATATAAAATTATAACATTAAAGAAAGGCCTTACCAAGAAAACAACTAATGTACACATCAGTAATTGTGGGACCAAAAGAAAATCTACAGACTGAAAATATGATGCCAACATATTTAACAAAACGAAATTACTGATCCATGATTTAAAAAATCATGAAACTGTTAAAAAGGTTATTTAATCTAAACTCACAAACTTTTAAAAATAATCTTTATTTAATCCCAAACTAAAATTCTCATTTTTGGAAAACCTGCTTCAATCAAAATCAAAGCATTTAACAAAACAGCTACTTAATCTGTTTGCAACGTTAGATCGAGGTTTTTCTTTTTAAAGTTTCAGGAAACATCAGTTTCCAAATATACTTAACGGTTACTTATTTCTCTCTGAAAGGCTTCCCTGAAAAAGCAGTAGCAAAGACCTAGACCAAGGTTCTTAATCCTTTTATGGTCCTGTGACTACTCTGAGGATAGGATGACATTTATTTTCTCCACATCAAAATGAAAACAAACACAATTTTGCAAGAAATTTAGAGAGTCCTTGAGATGCCAAAGGTTAAGGCCCTGCAAGTCTAGATTTTTGAAAGCAAGGTAACCACTACTGAAACCCTTAGACAGACTAAGAGGAACTATTAAGAAATTAAAAGAAAAATGTCAACACTAACAAGAGTCCATTTATAAGCCCTAATCTGTGACTGCCTTAAAAAGTTGGCCATACTAATGAACTGTAACTCTTCAAATGAAAACTCCCCAAATTCATCAGCAATGCTACTGGCATTTATTTTGCCGTCTCATCACCTCCTTATTTCTCTCTTGGTCTGCTCAATACAAACCAAAGTGAGAACTTCCTTTTACTTATTCTTCTATCTGAAACAATACTGAAGCACTAGAAATCCTAAAAAAAATTTCTTTCCAAATTCAACCATTACTCCTTAAAAGGTACTATAAAAAATTTTTGCTATTCTTATGCTAATATGGCATGCTTTTCAAAATATTAAAATTCTTCTATGATGAATGCTACCTTGATTGAGATATATATGGGCCTAAAATGTATAATTATTATTAAATGCAATCAAGATAGTGCCTTATAAAATACTATAAAGGCACAATTGTTAATAGTTAAAAAAGAGGGTAAATACTTCGGAGATAAACTTAATAGCTGCTTTTAGATACAATTGTTAAAAATTCTTTTTGTTAAATTACATTAACACAAAATGCATGGTATCATAGAAGTGCCCAAATAATTCCTTAATCATAAATCTAAGTTACTATAGATTATTATCAAGCCAGCAAGACACCTATATAAGAATCTATAATATGTACAATGCAAATGTCTCTTAAAAACTAATGCTTAAAATCTTTGAAAAAATAGTTTAAGATAGAGATCAAAGATTTATTAATGGAAAAACAATTTTTTGCTCTTAAAGTCTTGAATGGTCTCTAAACAATGTAATATACTATAATTCAAGAGTTAAAAATTAATGTCCCAAATTCACAATAGAATTATTTTTATTACTTTTAAATTGTTTCTAACTAAAAACATTTTATTTATCTTCTGCTACTTACGATATTCTTCCAAATGGTGCAAAAGCTGCTTTTATATCTTCAGTTGTAATTTCTGGACTGAGATCACCAACAAAGACATGGAAATGATCTTATAAGGGGATAGAAGGGGAAGTGAAAAGAAAAATAGAACTTTAGAATTTAAAAAAGATCAAAATTTATACAATAAAGCAATCTTAATATAATTTATGGATTATAATAAAGTATTTTAAAAAACTATCCTATCTCTATAAAAAGCCTATCAATTTTAAACATAATACATCGAGGTAACAATATAGGAAAGATTCTTCTAAAAAGACTATGATATAGCTAACTGAAAACTGCAGTTATATTTCTATTTATAGTCAATTATACTGGTCTAAGAGAATAAACTAATAATATATAACAAGCTTCAGTACTGTAAAAATTTAAAGACTTAGTTAATATTCTGAAAGGAATTATTTACTTTTATTCATTTTACCACTATATGAAGGCTTTACAAATTAAAACAGTGGTATTAATTTATATAGACTAGATTGGCCTCAGTTAAGACAATTTACTGAAGCTAGCTACATCATATACTTGGTTTAACCATATTTTGTGAAGAACAATCAAAGAAATACCTTGCATTGCAACAGTTTGATGTTAAAGTATTTGACAGTTTTCTCAAAAGCCAACAGTTTTGGTTGCCCAGACATTACACCATTCAGTTTATGTGAATCCATGTGCAAGTGAACTAAGACTGAAGGCAACAGAATGAAAACAGTAATCCCTTCACTTTATATCAGAACCATTAAAAAAGCATTGGAGAGAAATAACCATCCTATATGTGAAACTTTTCTAAAAAAGACAATTCTCAAGAAACACAAAAAATGCAAAATTTTTGAATACTTTAAAATGGTCACATATGTATAAATATATAGTTTTGATAAAGAATATTTGGAAAGAAAAATTACCCCTATGTGGTAGGCCTCAAGCAACATATTGGGTTGCTCTTCCGTAAAGTTTCAGGAGCAACTCAAACACTTGGAAGATCTGTATATGAAGCCCAGGTGACCTCAAGGAAGCAGGGTATCTTGTCTTTTAGTTGGTGAAAGTATTTCTAAAACATCAGCTGCTACCAAGAGAATTCCTTGAACTAGCACCACAGTAGTGGACAAGTCACACTTGGTCAATGCTGGGAGGAAGGGGGAAAATATTGCCAAAGAGACATAACAAAGAGATTACTACCTAATCCCTCCCCCCTCCCATATCAGACAAAAAAAATTCAGGTGGTTAGTGAATACCCTTTCAAGAGATTTCATTTTATGTTTAAGAAGATACAATTACCTTGTGAACGCTGTGTGCTGACAACGGTACTACCTGATGACAAAGATTAGATTTGTTCTTAAATTTATTAACACAAACACATTAAATCATATCTTAGGATAACGATCAAAACATTACTGCAAACATGTACGTTTATATGTTTTACAATAAAACTACTGGGTATAACAAAAACAAATTTTCAAAGAGTATAAAATATACTTACTGCTTGTATCTTTCTTTTGACTGCTGGGAGTAGTTGCCCAATTCACTTTGACTTCCTTAAAAAAAAAAAAAAAATTTTCTACATTTATATTCCATAAAAACAAAGCTCAAAATCAGATTTGTATCTATGAATACATAAGAAAGATATGTCTGAGATGAAACATTGAACACCAGTTCTGGTGAAGTGTTTTTTGTTTTTTTTTTTTTTTTTAATATTTTTCAAGTTGTCAATGGACATTCATCTATCTATCTATCTATCTATCTATCTATCTATCTATTTATATGTGGTGTTGCGAATTAAACCTAGTACCTCATGCAAGGCAAATGCTCCATCACTGAGCCACAACCCCAGCCTCTCAAGTTTTTTTTTTTTTTAATATTTATTTTTTGGTTATTGGCGGACACTACATCTTTGTTTGTATGTGGTGCTGAGGATTGAACCCGGGCCGCAGGCATGCCAGGCGAGCGCGCTACCGCTTGAGCCACATCCCCAGTTCCTCAAGTCAAGTTTTGATGCTCATCTTTTGACTTATATTTATGCCAATAACTTTAACAAACCCTAATCTTTATACATTTCTGTTAACATTCAAATAACCTTTTTTTAAAACAAATAGTATCAATGTATGTTTTCCCTTAGTTTCTTCCAAGCTTTAGTAATTCAAAAATATTTTAGCACTTATGTTCAAGCACCATGCATGATACCAACATAAACACAGGCCTCTCCCCTCTAAAAGCTTTATCCTGCCATTTTAATATTAAATGTGAATGACTTTTTAGGATAAAGTGAACATGTTTCTAAAATGGAAATGAAACCATATAACTTAAAATTTACCAGCACAAGTCACCTTTTTGAATTATGACAGCTTACCTTACCCATTATCTTCCGCCCATTCATAGCAGCAAGTGCTGCAGCTGCATGACGATGTTCATGAAACTCCACAAAACAATATGGATCGTTTCCAGCTGTCTGTTTAAGAACAAATACACAAGTCAAATTTAAGCTTTATTCTCCCATTATTTTAAAACTATGTACAGATTTTTTTTTTTTTTTTCGGGGGGAGTGGGGAAGGCAGGTACCAGGGATTGAACTCAGGGGCACTTGACCACTGAGCCACATCCTCGGCCCTATTTTGTATTTTATTCAGAGACAGGATTTCATTGAGTTGCTCAGCACCTAACCATTGCTGAGGCTGGCTTTGAACTCGAAATTCTCCTGCCTCAGCCTCCGGAGCCGCTGGAATTACATGTGTGCGCCACCACACCTAGCAAGATATTTTTCTTTTCTTTTTTCAAATATCAATTTTAGTTGTAGATGGACACAATACCTTTATTTTATTTATTTATTTTTATGTGGTGCTGGGGATTGAACCCAGTGCCTCAGGCATGCTAGGTAAGTACTCTACCACCGAGCCACAACCCCAGTCCCCTAGCAAGATATTTTTCTTTTCTTTTTTTTTTTTTAAAGAGAGAGTGAGAGAGGAGAGAGGAGAGAGGAGAGAGGAGAGAGGGAGGGAGAGAGAGAGAGAGAGAGAGAGAATTTTTAATATTTATTTTTTAGTTCTCGGCGGACACAACATCTTTGTTGGTATGTGGTGCTGGGGATCGAATCCGGGCCGCACACATGCCAGGCGAGCATGCTACCGCTTGAGCCACATCCCCAGCCCAAGATATTTTTCTTATAAATTAAGTTTTATATACTTCTCAGGTTATGGAAAATGAATGGTATACTTCAAAAGTAAATTTTTAGATTAAAAAGTTAACACTTAAAAAAAATTTTTTTATAGGAAGTTATCTTCTTAGGCTTATACTACAATGCTGTAGCTTTCTTTTAATAATGACTAAGTGTACTAAGTAAAAATAGTTACTCTATTTATTAATATTTACTAATACATACTAATACTATGTATGTTTATTTGCCCCCATAAACACATAACCATTTCTTTCAGGTACAGAGTTTGGTTAACATTCTCAAATTCTCCTTTCTTTTTTTGGGGGGAAATTGTGGTACTAGATGCTGAACCCAGGGCCTGATGCTTGCTAGACTAGCACAATACTACTAAACTAAACTATATCTCCATCTCTTTTTTAAAAATTATTTATTTTGAATCACGGTCTTATTAGGATGATAGGTTGGCCTAGAACTTCTGATCTTCCTGCCTCAGCCTCCCAAGTAGTCTTTTGCCATTTTATAATTTTTAATCCTGTTGGTTATATATTAGTTTAATTGCTACAACTGTACACATCCCCTTACTGCTTCTAACTTGCTGAAATTCTTAGCCAACTTCTTAGACCTGTTTCTAAAATATAGGTAAATAGGCTCTGGAAACTAAAGAAGTTCTCTGGTAAGTAAAGTTTAAGAATGGGATTTATGTATGTACATATGTATGTATATTTGTGGTACCAGAGATTGACTTATAGACTTCAGGGATTAGCCCTTTTTATTTTTTATTTTGAGACAGGGTTTTGCTAAGCTGCCAAGGCTGGGCTCCAACTTGAGATCCTTCTGTCTTAGCTTCCCAAATAGCTGGATTACAGGCACTTGCCACTGTACTTGGCTAGAAGTTTTAGAACGTGGACTTTCTGACACAGATATTTTGACTATTTAGAAAGCTTTTAAAAATCCACTCCCATCAAAAAAAAAAAAAATTTGTAATCTCAACTAGATTAGTATCATATAAATTTGCTCACTGTGGGCTGGGGCTATAGCTCAGTGATAGAGAGCCTGCCTTGCATGTGTGAGGCACTGGGTTTGATCCTCAGCACCACATAAAAATATATAAATAAAGATATTAAATTTTACTTCTCACTGTGATGACAGAAGTAGAATAAAAATCTAATAACAACAAATAAAACCAAAATGCTTTAATATAAAAAAATTCTCTTATTCTCTGCTGGTGTTGGGATAAGATGACTTGGATGCTTTGTTTTTACTTTTGTTGGGATGCTAGGGACTAAACTCAGGGTCTTGAGAATGCTAGGTAAACATGCTACACCCAAGTTGAGCTACACTCAAACCAAATATGTAGTTTTATTATAAATTAAAGCAGAAAAAAAGAAAAATTCTAATATATTATACCTATCAGTGCAAAACGCTAAACAATTTAATAGTTCATTTATTTCTTTCTGTAATCTAAGCAGAACTGATTCAAAATTCAAAAGTGGCAAACACATAATTCAATATACTGGGACTATGTGTTAAAAAAATTAGAGAATATAAAAATTATGTAATTCAAACTAATGATAAACTTAATGAGAATTCTATTTCAAAGATCAATGTTCTCGGGCTGGGGATGTGGCTCAAGCGGTAGCGCGCTCGCCTGGCATGCGTGCGGCCCGGGTTCGATCCTCAGCACCACATACCAACCAAGATGTTGTGTCCGCCGAGAACTAAAAAAATAAATATTAAAAATTCTCTCTCTCTCTCTCTCTCTCTCTCTCTCTCTCTCTCCTCTCTCACTTTCTCTTTAAAAAAAAAAAAAAAAAAAGATCAATGTTCTCAAGTATAAGAATATGGTTAAAAAAAGTAGCTTGCAATTAAGATTAGAGCAAACAGATGGAAAAGATCATGCATGCTATTTTTTTAATATTTAATTTTTAGTTGTAGATGGACACAATACCTTTATTTTATTTTTATGTGGTGCTGAAGATTGAACCCAGTGCCTCACACGATAGGTGAGTGTTCTACCAAGGAGCCACAATCCCAGCCCATGCATGCTAATTTGTATCCAGAAAAAAACAAACTTTTCAAGTAAAAATAAGCTAAGCATATATACATTATCAGCATGTATACTCAGGAATATAAAATTCCTCATCAAATTTTTAAAAATTTGTTTTTCTATACATATTATCATTCAGGGTTAATACCAATTATATGAATAAATTCTATTGTTTTCTCTACCTATTAAGGTCTCTACCTAGTTTTGAACTGCCTAAATCTGAGAAAAACTTGACCCTCAAAAATAAAATTAAAAACACTTTCAGCCAGGTGTGGTGGCACATGCCTGCAGTCCCAGCAATTTGGGAGGCTGAGACAGGAGAATAGAGAGTTCAAAGCCAATTGTAGCAATTTAGTGAGGCCCTAAGCAACTTGGCAAGACCCTGTTTCTAAAATAAAATATAAAAAGGGGATGGAGGGGCTGGGGCTGAGTGGCAGACTACTTATCTAGCATGTGCGAGGGACTGAGTTCAATCCTTAGTACTGCATACAAAAATAGGCAAATAAAATAAAAGTGTGCTATCTATCTACAACTACAAATAAATAAATAAAGGCTGAGGATGTTGCTCAGTGGTTAAACATGTTCAATCCCTGGCACAAAACAAAAACACTTTCACTGTACTAAATGCATCTTATTTTTTTTAACCCCGTTTCTAGTCTAATTATAACTTAAACTGTAGATTAACTGAACAATAATTAATTGATACTTCAATGCATTTGAAAACAAAAACCTAGATACATATATATATATACCCACACATAGTTATCTGCTCTAGGAATGATTAGTAGTTCTGTTCTCTTCCTTTATTTAGCAAATAAATTAAAATCCATTGCTAAGACAGATTTATTATAAATATGCTAAAATCCCTATGAATTTAGACATAAACTAAGAAGTCTTTGAAGTAATGGTTTTAACAAGTATGTCAAAAAGAAGAAAGTTAACTTAAGTAAAATACCCTTACATCCATAATCATTTTGCAGTTTTTACAAGGTCCAATCTGGCTGAAGAGTTGGAGAATCAGAGCTTCTGTTACATCTCTGGAAAGGTTACCAACATATCTGAAACACAAAGAAGAGCAATTTATCATTTCAGATTTGCTTCTTTTGCATCAGTTCCTAAAGTTGCTTACTGTAATATGAATGCTGGGAGATGACAAATCTTTGCCTTACACTATACTATTAGGAATTACTTTGTAAATGTTTGCCAACACTTCAAAAAAACTCACATGGATTCAAAATATAGTATGTGCAAATATATTAGACACTGCTTGTAGAATGGAAGATAGTGTTTGAGCATATGCATGTATTTATTTTGGCAGCAGTGGGGATTGAACCCAGGGCCTCACACATGCTAGGCAAGTACTCTGCCACTGAGCTACACCCCCAGCCCTTTATTATTTTGAGACAGTTTAAGATGCCCAGGCTGACCTCAAATTTAGCAAATCCTCTGGTCTCAGACTTCAGAGTAGCTGAGATTACAGATGTACACCACTATGTCTATTTTGGTTAAGGTTTTGCAAATTAAATTTGTTGCCCTTTAAGTTTCTAGGCATACCTTAGGAAGTTGTTTTTGAAACTCTTAAAATGAATCATTATTAGATGTATAAAATATTTTATGCAATCAATCCTGGGACGTATTGTAATTTTTCCTTTTTTGATGTTACTGGGGGTTTAATCCAAGGGTATTCCCCCACTTAGCTCCACCCCAGCCCTTTTTAGTTTTTATTTTGGGGGGGGGGGTCTTGCTAAGGTTGCTAAGGCTGGCCTTGTGATCCTCCTGCTTCAGTCTCTCAAGTCAATGGGATTACAAGCTCATGCCACCATGTCCAGCTTTTTCTATATTAATACAGAAATCATTTGTTTTCTTCCAAATGACTTTGAATATGCAATGAAAAAATTTTATAAAAATCATGAGAAAGTTGTTTCTCAGGTGCGGTAGAGTTCACAAACAGATGGGAAGCTTTCACTAAACATCACTGATCAGTGGAAGAAAAATAAAAGACAGTAACAAGGTTCCAGATAATTTGAGTTGATGACCAATGAACTTAATTAATATAAACAGGGCACTACAAGTCCACATAATCTTTATAAAGGGTTTATAAATAAGTTCTCAAAATGGGCTTTTCAAATGAGATTACCTCTAAGCATATTACACATTTACTACTTCTGACACGATAAAATACAGTAGCGTTTAGTAACTGTAGAGTTCTTTCACCAGGTACGCTTCAGAGAACTTGAAAACTAGACTCTCCCTTAGAAAAATAAACGCCTATACATGTCCACAAAGCATGGATTCCATTTCTTCTCTCTACTGTCCCAACAAACATATCGAGTGCCTATTAGAATTAAACTATTCGAACAGGTTAAAGGGAGAAGTGTTTAATTTTAAAGAACAAACAACATTTAAAGATCAGGTAGAATAATGACATTTTAAAAAAGAGAGAGTAGGGCTGGAGATATAACTCAGTGGTACAGCATCTGGATTCAAGGGGGAGGGAGAGAGAGAAGGAGAGAGAGAAAATGAGGGGAAGCTCTTTTTTTACAGAATTCTAATTAATAAATACAGGACGACATTAAATTAACAATATATAAGCTATAATAAAATCAGTAAGTTCATTCATTTATACTAAAATAACTAGGTGAAAGGTTGGTGTATAAATGGATAATCAGTGTGCCAAAATTATCATGGATTATCTAAATAATTGCAAAGGGAAAACCCTACCTTAAAAATGAGTGCTTTGGCTATCACCATTATGACCCAGTAATCAAAATTTAATTCACCTTATAGATGGGCAATGAGAAACTGTATAACATGTATTAACAATATCACTTATGGAGTATTCATATCAAAGAAGTTTAACCTAATCTGATCAAGCTTAAAAATTTGATTTAAGTTTATAGGATATTGGGCATATAGAGATAACCACAAAATCTAGATGTTAGACATTTTATAAGACAACTTGATCTCTTCAAGAAATTGTCCTGCATCTGGGGTGTAGCTCATTGTTAAGAGATCCTGCTTAGGGGCTGGGGTTGTTAGCTCAGCCTGGCATGACTGAGGCCCTGGGTTCGGTCCTCAGCACCACATAAAAATAAATAAAAAAAGGTATTATGTCTATCTACAATATACACAATGGAATATTACTCAGCAATGAGAATAAAATCATGGCATTTGCAGATAAATGGATGGAGTTAGTGGGGTAGGGAGGGGGAGCATAGGAGGAATAGACAAACTCTAGATAGGGCAGAGGAATAGGAGGCGAAGGGAGAGGGCATAGGGTTAGAAATGAGGTGGAATGTGATGGACATCATTATCCAATGTACATGTATGAAGACACAAATTGGTGTGAATATACTTTGTATACAACCAGAGATATGAAAAATTTGTGCTCTATATGAATAATATGAATTATAATGCATTCTGCTGTCATATATAAATCTTAAGTTTTTTTAAAAATCCTATCTGGCATGTGTGAGGCCCTGGGTTCACTCCTCAGCACTAAAATAACAAAAATCCATGATAGCCCTAATTAAAAAAAAAAAAAAATAGGACTACAGACTTACAAGGTATATAGTGACAACAAAATATAATTAATAATCCTTGACTGGATCCTAGATAGGAGAAAAAGAGCTTGTTCTTGCAGAATGCTAATAAATATAGAAGAAATGAGAGGGGAAAAAAATCACCATTAAAACTCTACAGTAGGACTGGGGATGTGGCTCAAGTGGTAGCACGCTTGCCTGGCATGCGTGTGGCCCGGGTTCGATCCTCAGCACCACAAAGATGTTGTGTCCGGGGCTGGGGATGTGGCTCAAGCGGTAGCGCGCTCGCCTGGCACACGTGCGGCCGGGGTTCGATCCTCAGCACCACATACAAACAAAGATGTTGTGTCCACCGAAAAACTAAAAAAATAAATATTAAAAAACAAAACCCTCTACAGTAATAATTGCTACATGCAAGATCCACCCGTGAAAACTAAAATTAGTTGATGAATTTTAAGGAAAAATACTTGCATAGCCTCAAAGTCTCTGGCTTTAACCAGTTAATAGATTTTTATCTTCTGACCACAAATTCTCTTGATATATATCTCTCTAGGAAATGCACCTCAATCCTCTCTTCTTGAGTGTAAGCTAATTTCAGTGATTCATCTTCGTTTTTTTTTTCTCCTGAGGCACTGGGGACTGAACCCAGGGGTGTTATAACACTGACCTTCATCCCCAGCCCTTTTTTATTTTGAGCAGTGTCTCAGTAAGTTGCTGAGGATATCCTTGAACTTGTGATCCTCCTGCCTCAGCCTCCTGAGTTCCTGGGATCACAGATGTGTACCATTACATCTGGCTAGTTGATTCACTTCAACAAACCATTTTCAGAAAGCAGTCACTGTACACTGAAGAAACAGTATTTTGAAACTTTCAGTTCATACAAGGTATCTCCTCACAGATTCAAAAGGTATAAGAGACTTGACTAAATGTAATGTATTATCTTGCATTGGATTCTGGAAAACAAAAAAAAGGTTAGTGGTGCAAAAACACTGGGCGAGGTGGAATAAAACTTGTAATTAACAGCTTTGCATCCACCAATGTCAATTTCTTATTTTTGTGAATTGTAGAATGATTATGTAAAATGTTAATATTAAGGGAAGCTGGGTGACTGTGAGAATTCCAAAACCATTTCTGCCTGTATCTATTCTCACCTAACTTTTGTGCTGATAAAAAATCCACAAAACTGCAATTAAGTCTAAATGAAAAAAATGGATCTTCTGAAACTTTAGATCTACTCTGCCAAAGGCAGAGATCTAGTGACAAGTGGGTAGTTTTTAGAACTTTAATCTTATCACTTACTCTTTGCAAAATTGTCTAAATTCAAATATTTTCTGATACTTGATTTGAAGATAGGTAATAATAAGCAGTAAGAACAAGCTGGTTTAAAAGAAACACTGGCCAAGCAGAGTACCATGCCTGTAATCCCCATCATTCTGGAAGCTGAAGCAGGAGGTTCACAAGTGTGATATCAGCCTCAGCAACTTGGCAATACCCTGTCTCAAAATTGAAAAGGGCTGGAGATGTAGCTCAGTGGTTAAGCACCCCAGGTTCAATCCCCAGTACCAAAACACTTTTTTGGGGGGCGTGCAGCTACACACACACACACACACACACACACACACACAGAGTTTGTATTGTCTTTATGTTTACTTGCTTAATTTAGCCTGTAATAATCTCCAGGAGCCTCCATCAATTCATCCCACACATAGCTGTTTATTCTCTTTTGAGGAAGCTGTACACAAAACTTGCTCTCAATCTTGGACATCATTACAATAGACTATAGGTAACAATACATTTTCATGTTAATCAATGACAAAATCTTTGTGCAAAAAAATAAAACCCATTATAGTAATCTTTAACTTTTTACCAATGTCAGTCACTAATACCTCAAATTTTTATAAACAATGCTATTACAAGTATATTTGCTCAATAATAGTTTGAGACTGAAAGCCTAAAAATATGAAATCTGCAGTTCCTTTTAATACTCACTAGTGGGGCACGGTATTGCATGCCTGTAATCCCAGTGTTCTGGGAGGCTGAGGCAGGACTGCAAATTCAAGACCAGCCTCAGCAACTTAGTGAGGCCCTAAGCAATTCAGCAACCTTATCTCAAAATAAAAAATAAAAAGGGCTGGGGATATGGTTCAGTGGTAAACTGTCCCTGGGTCAATCCCAGTACCACAAATCAAAATAAAAACAACCCTTTTTTATCTTTTTATACATACTTTCAATGGAAAACAAATTATACATTCATATATATGTGTGTGTGTTGTGCACATGCGCGCGCACACACACCAGAGTGAACTTAGGGGCATTCAAGCACTGAGCCACATCCCCAGCCCTATTTTATATTTTTTAGTTAGAGTAAGGGTCTCACTGAGTTGCTTAGCCATTGCTGAGGCTGGCTTTGAGCTTGTGATTCTACTGCCTCAGCCTCCTGAGACACTGGGAGGTTTTCTTACATCTTGCAAAATGTTTTACAGTTCATTCTCATTTTTATATATGAAAGTTTCTTT